AAAGCAGACATGGGGAACGGAAATCCACGGGGAAAGCATAGCAACCCCATTCTCTCCGCCCATACAAGAATCTCCCCCAGTTTCAGGTGGACCTCTCTCGGATCGAGGAGAAGGAGGAGAAATGCCCACCTGTGGCGATTCAGCTGTCATCTTTCACATTGCTTTGCCGGCGGCTCACCACATGGCCGCCGGGACGTTACCCACTCCCCAGACATGGGGGTTTCGATCAGTCATTCAAATCTAACTTGTTTCGCTACTGACATCCATGGCTATAGTCTCATTTCTTGGCATCGCCGGCTATCAGCGGGTGTTGTTGCAGCAGGGGTCCTCGTCTCCCTGTCGGTGCCCACATCTGTCCCATGCATTCTACAATAAAAGGAAAGGATGCGCTTGGGCTGAGAATAACGCTTCAAATCTTGTACGCTGGCGATCTAATCATATATACACTGCCACATCTTACAAATCCATCAAACAGCTCCGGAACCAGCAGATGAGGGGACTCAAACGAGGTGTCCCTTGGCTCACTCTGTGCAAGAGAACGGAGTCCGGAAAGCACCAATCTTGTAATGGTGTTGCTGTTCCAAGGGTTAGTTTTGAAATTAGGCAAGGTAAAATCCGGTTTTGAGACACTTACGATATCCTTGATGGTGGCGTACGTTCCTCCGACGAGGACGAGAAGACCGAAGAGGAATGCCAAGATGCAGCAGATGGCATGGAGGATATTCTCTCGGTCGTACCACTTGCCCTTGAGGAGAAGCTTGTACCACATGATAGGCGGGAAGTACAGAATGAAGCCAGACACGAACAGGGCGGAAATGAGCGAGAGGAGATCCGAGAAGAAGGGGATGGCCTCGCCGAGAACCCAGGAGAGAGCCGTGATGGCGGCCAGGACGGCAATCCAGGTGATCCAGCCCTTAGGGGTGTTGATGAATCGGACGATCGAGTTCTTGTAAAGCCGGATATGAACATAACGAGCAGTAACCGTGTTGCCGATGGCGCCGGACACGAAAATGACGGGAAGAGCAACGCCAAAGGCCACCTTGGGCATGACGCCGTCGAGCGAGAGAAGGGCCGGGCTCTGGACGTCAACTCCGATAAAGGTGTAGATGAGAACGCCTGTAACGGTGTAGATGACCATCTCGACGATTCCCAGAACCCAGACTGACTTCATGTAGTCTGACGGGGTGTGCATCTCAGACTGGAATGGAGTCATGAACATGGAGAAACTGTAGGCGAAAATCATGTTGCAGATTGCCACCATGGCGTCCTTGAAGGTGCAACCAGGAGCTGGCCATGCTGACCAGTTGACGGCACCAAGACCACCGGGAGCACCGGAGGCTTGAACGCCTGAAGCGATGACGGCGATGAGGATAGCCGACATGACGGACACGATGTCGATGTAGCCCAGAATAGCAGCTTCAGTAAATGAGGGTGGGATGGCCAGAACAAATAGGAGAATCGCAGTGACGATTCCAAAGACGACGCCACATGTTCCCTTGTCGCTCAGAACGTTGAGAGCGATTGTGCCGGTGAGAACGTAGGATGAAGTCATGAGAATCAGCTGCAGCACGTACATGCCGCCAAACAGCTCCTCTCCAAAGCGGCCCATCAAGAGGCCACCAATGTCGCCATAGTGGCCAATCTGAGGAAAAACCACCTTGACCTTGCCAATGATGTAACCAGTGTAGATGGCAATGAGTCCCAGCGTAACGCAGCAGAAAGTTCCTGCTACGACACCGAGAGTCGCAAAGGCACCGGGGAGACTGAAAAGACCAAGGCCAATGGCCTCGACCATGAGGATGACGGTCAGACGCTTCCATCCTAGACGGTGGAAGTGCGCCTCTCCCTCGGCGATCTTTTGCTTTTCAAAGTCGGTAATGGTGCCGGGGGCTTGGTCGTAGGAGTCGTTGATCTGGGCAATTTTGTCATCGTCAAGCCCGTGGTTCTTTTCCGTGGCTGAGGGCGCCGGCGGCTGGTGAGATATCATCATGTTGTTTGCGGTGTCCATGTTGAGGGAGTGAAGAATGTGATTCTGGGGAAAGTCTGGAGAGAAACGAAGCGAGCTGCTTGAACTCCACGATTTTCAAAAGAAGACACCGGGGAAGCGACTAGACGCGACCCTTTTTAACAAAATGATTTTGGCCCAAGCTCTCATCGGTCATAATGGAGACGATCCCCACGTTGGTGAGAAGGGGAGGCACCCCATAAGGAGCCCCGTGTTGTTGTACGTAAAAATCTGGTGATGGGCATTGAAACCTCCGCAAGGCCCATCCGCCGCTGGAGTCGTCGGCCCGTAAGCCTCGAATCACCGACGGGCGTCCGAGAAGCTATTAGCAAACGATTGACGAAGTTTGTGGAGTGCCCTGGACTCGCCCGTTGCGATGGCACTCCGGGGACTCCGGGGGCGGGCGCGATTTGAATCGTCCTCCATATCCGACCCCGTCAGCTGCTGATTGCGTGGTATTTACGTACTTTCCGATGCACGCCATTTAGTAGCTTTTCCCCAGGTGAAAGATGAGGAGTTGAATGCGCCCGAAAACATAGGGGAGGCTGAAATTTATGTGGTGCCCTGTGTCTAGCAGGCCTACTGCATGCCGCCCCTTTCGGAGAGCCTCAAAAAGCCGCACATCAGGAAGCTTTCCGACGCTAACGACGGCTCTTGGTAACGACGATGTCTGATAGGGCATAGCGCTCCCGGCCTTGGAATTGCTGATCGCCACAGCGACTGGCCGGCGGTGGCCGGCGGCGTATCCACTTGTCGGGGTCAAGGTCGTGTCAACTAGACAACTATCCCGTTGCCGGCGGTCCCAAGTGGGTTTTGCGAGTCGAGTCGCGCCTCAGGGATGGTGAGCCGCCACACGGTTGGTACCTGCGCGACGCCGACCTTGCTAATGTCATGGAGTAATGGGAGACGCGACGAGATAGGTAAGCCGGCCACCTCTTGGCTCAGCCACGTCTGCTGTTTCATCAAGGCTTGTATTGGTTTGAACCAACCGGCCCACGTCATCTATCCCTTTTGAACAGTTAGAAGCTGTTTGATAGGCCAGGCAATACATGTTGCGATCCGGTTGGTGACGGCTCAAGAGCTAAATCATGCGCTTGGTCAGGGATCTTGAAGCAAGCCCGGACCTTGAAAGGCTCAGGCATTTGATGTCTTGGAAGACATTCATAAACTTGAGTACAATGAACTACAATGAACCAACAACAAGTTACTTCAGTAGTTCGGTATGCGCGAAAACATCGACAATGCTTAACAATTTGTTGTGCTCCATCTGTGAAGGAATTCGGCCCTTTCGCTTCCATTAACCTTTCAGCGATAAAGCATTGACTTGACAAATGTCATAACTAAACTATTACTCCACCAAAATAAACGTGATTGGAGTATGGGGCAGTCAGCACGGCTACAACCAAGCGAGCGTTGGCCAAAAGCCAAGACAAATCTTGTTTGTAAAGGCATTCAAGAGTCGAAAATACCTGAGTTTGTCAGAAGTAGTACATTTTGGTTCTTGCATTTCTCGTCCCGGGTTATTGCCCTCGGGTTGTTGGTGGCCTTCATGAGCTCAAGCATTTGGACCTCGGTATTTATTCTCGTAAAGAAAGACCATGTGAGACGATCTACAACTCAGAGACCTGAGAGTACAACCTACGGTCAGCTGCAAAGAATACCCGGTACTCGGCATGTTGTTCTGGAATTTCGATGCAGTAACCCTATAACAAATCTGGCAGGGCCCAATCTCTCTTTACTCTACTCCATTTGTTAACAACCTGGATCCCTGCGCCCAACTATCCTATCGGATCGAACCATTTGTACAAAAGTCATTCGACCTGAACTTGGAGGAAGTCGTCTGAGAGACTTTTAGGGCTGGTCGGGTGGCGGGAGTGGCGGCTTCTAGAACCGCTCGGCTCGGTAGTGACAGAAGGTCTTCCCTGATGTAGAAGGTCTCTTTGGGGGCGACCATCCCACTCTTTGAAAGATCTTGTTTTTAACAATTCTGTTGGGGGCACCAAAGCCGTGGTTGTTTCATGATTCTGTGGCTGCCCAAGCCGGGTGATATGACCGTGACGGAGCCTGATGGTAAGATGCCCAAAATAACCCATTGAGCTCCTCATCTTGAATTACATAGGCATATTGCCAGCCATCTAAAAACTTATATTTCGGGTAGAAAAGTGTTTGCGATTGGTTGCCAAGCGAAATACTATCGCCTATCGGATTTCGGTGCAAACTGTCCCAAACATGCTTCGTTGAACTTGGCTTAAAACTTGATGGCGTGATTTGATGCTTGACAAGCACCAACATGAATTACAACTCTGAAGACTGTGTAAAAAAACAAAAACAAATGGTGAGTATCAAAACTGTAAGGAATGGTTGATGAGGTGAAGTTGGTGGTTGTATATGACAAGAACCTTCACGTAAGGTTTTGGTGACTAACCACCTGGGTCTATCCACGACATGCTGATGCGTCACCTCCAATCAAAGGCTTGCAGCGAAATGAGGAACTTGAATATTTAGTAAAAAAGAAAGTCTAGGCCCACACGTCAACTCATGTCGACCCAAAGGGGGCCCTTGACGCTTTCTCAAGGACCGGACGAGGGTGGCCTGTCCAACGGGAACTCTGGTCTCACTTGCTGCTAATTGACGAGCACACGACAAAAGCCTTACGCCTGCTCGAGGTTTCATGTAATGAAATGAACCCTATTGAGAATATTCGCTCAAGATTGGCTCGGATTCTTTTAAGAGAGCGTCTGCGTTCATCACAGCCTTCAAGCTGTCTAGGATCAAATGCCCCAGACAAATACGTAGTAGAAGCACAGAAGAAAAAGAAAAACTAGGCAATTCATGGGCACTTTAGGCATTACAATCCCTCGTATGCTATGCTATATCTTGAATGACGTATCTGTTCCAGCACCGTGTATCAATGTTGTTGGCCAGCCCTCTCGTTAGCCCCCCCTCCCCTACTTTCACACAAACCCCGCCCCTTACCGCCCTTCATTCGCACCTCTCAATTCTTACTATCCTTGCTCGGATGCAGGATTTTCTGTGCAGCATAAAAATTGGCTTGTATAATGTTGACAGGCGAATCGCCCTTGAAGATTGCTGGAAGCTGCTTCCTCTCTGTTGTCCTAGAGAGGAGATTTTTTGGGATATCGTCCTTATCGGGGTGAAGCCCATAGTAGGGATCATTATCCAAAAAGTCCAGTAGCTTGCCAAAGGACTTCCTGGCAATGTATCCCACGATACGACCCACGCCCTCTTCGTCGTCTGCCTCAAAAGACAACACCTTGCCCTTCTTGGTGGACTTGGAACGTGTTTCCTTCTACTACTCCTCAATGTTTTTGTTGTCCCTTGCTGCTCTCTTGGACTGTGGAACACTTAGGAGGGCTACTTTTAATGCTTTGGAAAGGGGCTTTTGGCCTGGGTTCTCTTGGGCTAGTATTCTCCCAAACCTTTTCGTAGCCGCCGATCCCGCTTCGGAAGGGAGGTTGATAATAGCCAGTAAAGCTTCAGGGTCTTGCTTTAGGCGTGATTCCAAGACTATAGGGAATATTTTATTGTCCAATGCAAGCTTGTTGAAGTCGTTCAGTGATCTTCGGTACTGTTCTGGCATGAAGATGATGTCGGCCTTCTCGATGTGTACGGATGGGGTCGGGTCGCTCATGTCGCACCTGTCTACGCCCCCCTCGACCGTGGAGGCCCCTGCCATGATTCCCAAACATTGAATGGTAGCAAAGCCTTTTGAGTACAAGCCATAAGTCTCCAAGCCAGCTTCGAACCGGTTGGCCCATTGGGACTCTCTAGGGCTCAAGCGCGGCTTCATGTTTGGGGCTTTGATCTGTATGTATTGGATATGCTTGGTAAGGAGGCTTGTCACGGAGCTGAGCAACGACAAGAAGGCGAGAAGCTGTAAGCCATATTGGAGTTTCTTCATGGTTTTTGAGCGTTTAAAAGCAGGAGTAAAGGCGAGATGAATGGAGACTGGGGAGAAGAATGTGTTTTCGGGACTGAGACTGGGCCTGATTCGAGGCCGGGTTCGCTCTCACATATTGAGACACCAAGTATCGTAGCTTCTGGTAAATCTGAGGGCTATTATGGCTCCTTTTTGCGTCAAGAGAGGAATTGACATTTCTGAGACTAAGGGGCGGAACTGGCATGTCAATTTATCTACTTCTCAAACCTCAACTCTCGGCCCCTAGAACACTCCTATTTTACGGCCGTGGGGAACCGGCCGGAGTTACAGGAAGATTGTACTCATTTTTCTGGTTTCTTAAGCTAGACAGCCTCATTTGTTCGGCAATAGTCGGGCTGTGTTAGCGATGCCTATCTGCCTGATCGTGGAATCTCAAGTCAGCTACTGCTCGGATTTCCCGGAAACAGGACATGCTATGAGCACATGGTAGGCTGCTTTCTATGTCAAATGTTTGCTTCCGGGGGGGTCTAGTAGTAACGTTGAGTCCGATTCTAGGTACTGTGTAATTGTAATGATGAGCTCTCCTGTACTGATCGCCGTCATCCGTAGTCACCCCTCTACGAAGACTCCCAACTATCCAAAAACGCCCTTGTACATGCTGCCGCCGTTGCTGCGGCGTACCGCTGAAACTCCTTTGTCTTGTGGCTGTCTGCGTAGTCACACGCTCCTTTGATCACCAGGGTGGGGAAGGCCTCCCATACTGCCGCACCCTCCATCTCGAAGGCAATAATCTTTTCGCGTCTCGCGATCTCGTCCCTCAATTGCTCCGACTTCATCACTGTGTCCCCTGATGCGATTAGACCAAAGTGTATTGCAGGCTTCGGTGCATGGACTGAGTTCTGGCCTGGACGACGACGAGATGCTAGCTCGCCTTGGCCTCTTCCCCCCTGGTTTGCTACTTTCTCGACATAGTGCTGGGATCGCCCAGGAAGCTTGCTGTTTCCAGTGGCCGGGTACTTGGCACAAAGTCTGGATTCCTGGCCAAGGCGTTCAAGATAGCCAGTCATCTTGCTTTGCAATACTTTTCTGCCACGGAGGCTTTGCACCTTGTTGAGGGTCGACCGGATGTCAAGACTAGCTCTTCCCAAGGAGTCAAGAAGTGTGTCTTTTCGCTCAAATCCGTCTGGATACTGCCGGCCAAAGTCATACTGAATGACACCGTTGCTGATGATGACATCGCCCAGGTTTATCGGTTCCCCTGTGTTGTGAATGACAGGGACTACGCCGCATACCCCAACTAGAATGGCAATTTTGATTTTCGGAAAACTCATGCGACAAGCGATGGCAGCGCTAGCAGCAGCAGACTTGCCCATGCTTGACATGTGAACAAGGACAACATTGTGTCGCCCGATAACACCGGTCGAATAGCCGTTTGGGTCACCTGGAACTTTGCCATAGCGCACTTCGTCATCTGCCCAGTGGTGGTCGAACAAAGCTTCAACAGCATCGGCCTCGAGAGTGAGGGCGCAGATTATGGCCGTTTCGAACCCCTCTCGGTCAATCGGGCGTATCCCTGAGACTTTTATCGTCTTGCCATCCTTAGCCTCATTATTAGTTGGTAAGGCACGCTGAGCAGTGTTTGTACAGCGGCTTTCATCAGGTTCAGGTACCAGGGCATGTCGCTTGGCGGTCAGGTAGTCAATCCGAGAAGTCGCTCCTTGGAATGAGCCATTGAGGCATTCGAGAGGTGACACAACCTTTTCGTAGATCTTGCTTCTGCGGAATATATGGCGTTCACTTTTGTCCAGGTTTCCATCCTTGCCCGTCAAAGCATCGAATTGAAGACACTCTTCAACAGCGTCGGTGAGGATAAACTTGTGGTCAAAGCTTTCCCATGTGGTCGACTTGAGTTCGTCAAGGTACTTTAACGCTATCGAGTTGTAGTAGTTGAGCTGTAAAACTGGCCTATCAAAGGAGCGGCCTCGAAATGCCCTGCCGAGTCCAATTTCCAGCAGCAAGAGGGCTAGATATTGGATCCTAGGGCATCTGTGGATAAGGGAATGGGTCATGATGAACTCAGAGGCATCATAGGCGCACTCAGTGGCCTCCGGGTGGAATGCAATGTACATCCTCAGAGGCAGACGTTCCGAGTTGTCTTCCAGATCGGGCTCGGGCATGAACCAGATGGTGTGGCTTGTCCATGCGCGGTGCATGAGCTGTGAATCGTAGTATTGCCAGAATGCCAGGGCTACAGAGTGCGCGAGGGAGAGCTTTTGCTCAACACTTAACTCATACCCATCCAAAACATCTGCTAAAGACATGCCCGTGCCCGGGGATGCTCTGTGTTTTATGACAGCAACACCCGCTCGGAAAAGGGCCCCATCCTGCAACTCGAGAGAAATGCGGCAGCCATCGTCACTCTCAAAGATGTCGCAGAAGCCTTTGAGATTTGCGGAAGAGGGCTGAATTGCGGAGTCCTTGCCACTCACGATGACTGACTTTCGTTCTTGCGTTCTGCCCAGGCGATTAGTCCAGACGCCAGACATGAAGTAAAGCATGGTTGTGACCTACAATGGTACCTTGATGCAAATATCTTGCCACCGTCCGTTCTGGGCGGAAGATGCGATGGCATCAGAAGACGCGATGACGTCGAAATGGGCTATGCCATCCCTGTCAACTATTCGGTCAACTAAGACGAGCCTTGTTGGGTGCCACGAGCTTTCAGTCTCGCTACTAGTGGCCAAATGGCACGAGTTGCAGGATGTGTGTTCGCAGAGCGCCGAGAATAACGCCTTATGAGAGCATGAATGATCGCGCGGCTTCTTCATATTCGTGATGTGTTCCTTTTCTTCAGACTGCAGAGCCTTCAACAGCTTGTTGCATCTATCGAGTAGTTTCTCGCGAATGGCGAGTGGCCCTCCTAGATACTCAGAGATGTTTCTACCGAGAGCTACTTTGTGAGTCTCATCGTCGAAAAGTTCTGTGAGCGCCGCCAAGTCATAAAACTTATTCTGCATCGTAAGTAGTGCGGAACGTTTCCACTTGTTAGGTAGGCCGGGTTAGGTTGCGGATTCTATGAAGTGGTGGAACATACGAGTAGAAAGGAGAACATACAAAGCATACTCCTCGGAGATGTATGAAAAGTCCATTTGCCTGGTTTTTGACGTCTTGGGCCCAATCAATTTCCAGGGCTCCTTTCAGCTGTATGGCAATGAGGGAAAGATAGCTCGTAATGTTCAAGCAGTCTGCACATAGTTGGGCTTGTTCGTTGTTGGGAGCTTGCCGAAAAGCGTGTGGACATCCCTTCATGTTACGCAGCACCTCGCTGATGCCCTGGCAACAGACCTCAAGCGATTCGAAAAGGCGCTCATCCTCCATGATAAGAGTGAAAAGTTTGTTGTTTCTGGAGAGATTCCCCGCTCGAAAGCCTGGTTGCTGGATCGGGCTGTGGCACTTCAGCTCTCCCAGCCTGCAGGAGACTTGGCACTAACATCCAACATGATTGGCCATAGAGAAAGGTTTGATGTAATCATACGTTCATCTCGTAAGCAAGTCGCGTTATTTATCATGTTGCTGTCGCCGGCTGTCCTGGCCGCCTCCGTCCCCCTCACTTCATCGCACATGTTGTTGTCATCAGCCCATCAGTTAGCGTTTTTCGCACGCCAGGTCCTTGACATGACCTCCCCGTTGCAAGCGTCTTCTTCGCTTGCAAATCAGTGCCTTCGTCTATTTGAGGAGTGTCTTACCAGAGATGTTGTTGCAAAAGGGCAGTGGGCACAGAACCGTGGAGCTGATTTCATCCTTTGGGTTGACAGAGTGGGTGTATTGTCTGGACAAGGAGCTCCTTACTGCTCTAGATTCAAAGATCAAGGTCCTGAGCTAACGTTGATTCAATGGTTACTGACTCAATTACGCAACTGTCTCGAAGAATGTCTGGGGGACGAGGAGGACCACTTGGGCGAAGTAAAACGAAGCATTGACACCATCATCAGGAATCTTATCTCGGTTGCCGTTGCAGTTCGTCAGACTGGACGAAAGTTTCAACTCATCAAAGCTGACAAGAGTTTTGATGCCTCTACGTTCGGGGAGTTAAGGACGCATCTGAAACGCATCATCCTCATCGGGCAAAGCGGACTGGATCAGAACTTGGTCGACCATAGGGATCACCCAACATGGTGGCAAAGCACAATCGATGGAAAGCTTACAAATGTCCAAAACCGGCTTTTAGAGGCCAATCTCCGACGAAGACACCGATTTCAGCACGCTCAGATGCATTCGATGGACCTTGCAAGTCGATCCAAAGATTCCCCACCAACGACCCCTAATATCGAGCCTATTGGAAATCCTCCAACCCTCTCCCTAACATCAGCCTCCACTCCACAGGACACCTTCAAGAGCCGGGAAACCCGAGACCTGGCACCAGCTACCAATTCCCGGAACTCATCCATGGCCGACGCAACGGACTACCCCAAGCTCGCACTTCCCAAAAATCCCGAATTCGGGGGAGCGGCTGGGGCGGACATGGGGTATCAGCAGACCATGAAATGCCCTTGTTGCTGCGAAGCTATTCCAAACAGTACGCTGGAGATTCCGGGTTCGTGGGAGTAAGTCAAAATATTCTCTACTTCAAGAGGATGCCTCTTGCTAACCAGAGAACTGCAGAGAACATCTCTCGTTAGATGTTTATCCGTACATTTGTTTTGCTGAGCACTGCCCGGTCCCCCATGCTCTATACCGCACACGGGTAGAATGGGAGAAACATCTCCAAGTGCACCATTCAAAGAAGTGGAAGTGCCAGATTTGTGACACTTCGACAGGCATCGTATTTTCAAGTATCGATCACCTGCGGTTTCATGTGGCCGAAGAGCACCTAGAATCGTTTCCGGAGGATCTTCTCGACACCGTGAGCTTTTGGCCCTCGGTCCCTTCAATGGGTCTCCAGACGTGCCCATTATGCCGTTCAACAGGTCCGGTAGATGACCTAGAGTTGATAGAGCATGTTTTGAAACACACTCACGACTTTTCACTTCGTTCGCTACCCTGGGCAGATCTTAGCCAACCATCAGGTTATTTCACCACCAACGTCTACTTCGACCTAGGGGCAAACGACGGGTCTCTCGCTACAGATGGTCAGAGTGATCCTGAAGTATCGAAGATCACGGGTCATCCGACCGATGAGGGATACAGTTGGACTTACAGAGGCGACGGCCTACCACCGCTTCTTGATGAGGACGGCGAGTCTGACCTTTACATCTTGCTACATCGCTACTGTATTGAAGGGTGCGATGGGAAGTTTTGGACAGAAAGGCTGCTACGCCAAATCCTCACCGAGGAACGCGTTGGGGCTGAGCTCAGGGCGAGCCATGGATTCAGTCGCTCCGATGTGTCGTACTATCTTGATCTTATTTTTGCCCAACCGACAGAAGAACGACCAGAAACGTACTTGAGGATATTTGCTTTGTTGGTCTTGGCGTCTAGGGTCTCTGACATTGGCAAGTTCATCACGGAGAATGTCTGTGATAAAACACTGCCGCTCTTTCTCGACCTGAACTCGTCAGGCGGGCCACTTTCTCTCCGGGGAGAAAGCAAGGAGACACTGAAATGTTTTCAAGGATGGAACTGGGATCAGAAACAAAATTTCGCACAAAGTCAATGGCGGCTCATCTTCCCATTCCTCGGCGTTTCCGCAGGCGAGGCTCCCCGACCAATCGTGCTGGAACATGATATCATTAGGCCATGGCGCGACACCGGCACCGAAAGCGACATGGGCATGTTTGAAACGGTTTCTTGTGTTGAAATTCACCCCACGGCTCACTCTTTTGAGAAGATTCTATCTGATGTGAGTTGATGGGAGCTACATTGTTTTCCGTTGGCAGCTCGGCTAACACTTAGCTACTCAAGAAAAACTTCACGTGTGGTGGCTTTGCCATCAAAACGCTGCGCAAAAAACCATTGAACAAATGGCTACTGAAACAGGATTTAGATCAGCTGGCGGTGGAGATTACCACACACTCTCAACATTTGATACCGATACTGGGCTCTTTCTGTCATCAAGGCCAATGGAGTCTGATCCTTCCTCGTGCGTGCTGTACCCTGCGCCACCTGCTGGAACAGGGAGACACCAGCTGGACACCGAAGCGGATGAGATGGGGTTATCAGCAATTATACAGCATCATGGACGGCGTGAGAGCGATCCATTCTTACCCCAGGGCCGTTCGGCCGGACTTTGCGATACACGGACACATCGACCTGGATACTATCATTTGCTACGGAGAGCCGGAAATATTAGAGCACTGTGTCCTAGTTATCTCTCATTTTCCACTCTCTATCTCCCAGCCTAGTTTGGGCACTCAAACCTCACCAGTCTTCAGATCTCCAACTTATCGCCCACCTGAGTGGGACCTTGAAGGAGGTTGTGTATCCGAATCATCGGATATCTGGAGCTTGGGATGTGCCTATCTGGAATTCATTACCTGGCTGTTGGGGGGCAGAGACCTATTGTCCGAGTTCCAAGACGCTCGACAATCCCCTTATCTCGACGGAACCCTAGCTGACAGGTTCTACACCTTCATGTCCTCCAAGGAGGACGACCGTCACGTCTTACGCCTCAAGACTGAAATCACGGAGGTAAGTCAGACTTGCCCTCGTGGGATGTCCCATGCTGATCAGAACTAGTGGATGCAAAGATTGCGACGTCACCACGCTTGTTCAGACGCCATCCATCAAATCATAAACATGATACAGGGTAACATGCTGTTAGCACTACCGTCGCATCGATCGTCATCTCTCCATCTCCGGCAATGGTTTAATTTCGATCTTGACGAGATGTTCTATTTCGATGGGAAACCCGAGGACCTGCCATCATTGCCTACGCTTGATTTTGGGGTAAGACTGAGCCCTTTCTGGAAAGAGAAGATGGCCACTGGGAGCCAAGTTGAGTTGCCAATGCATAACGGTGGACCACTGATATACCTGACCCCAGACCAGCTGAGGAACCCGAGGGGAAGTTAAATGGAGCTGGCACACCAAGCTTGGTGGATAAGGGACTGACAGTGGGTTGCGGGTTTTCTCTGTCTTGAGTTTCGATGCCGTTATGCATTGGTAATTGTGTCTTTTGCTGTTGTGGTTGATGGCCTCTTTTGGAGACATCATTGATGACTAGACGAATGAGGGATTGGCACATCACGTTTCTATCAGACGAGGAAAGAGAATTACAACTGTTATCAGCGGTAAAATAGTTTGGCTTTCCACGGGACTGCCTTCTCTTGCCAAAATCTGCTTTGTGACCTTCGACCGTCCAATTCTCCCGTCAATCAAGAGGAAACACCTTTCGGTGGCAGATCTCAACTCGGAGGGCCATCCCATGTGAGTTCAACCGAGTCAACGCACCCATGCTCCCTTGCCTCACCGCTCGGGAGCTTACTGACCACCTCAATGGCCTTCTCAAGAGTGAGGCTTACGACCACGGTCTGTCCCTCGCCCCTCTTCCAAGATACTGTGGCGACATTGTCCGCTCCTAGGGCAACCTTTGCATCAAGTGACTCGCTCAGTAGGAGACGAGGTTTGAACAAGATGCCCTTTGAACCTGACAGACGAGGTTGAATGCCAGCTAATTCTGTGCAAAACTCGTACACGGGCACACTTCCCCAAGCGTGACAGTCAGAGCGCTGGCGCACATCATCCTCTTCCCAGGTCGACAGGTTGTTGGCCAGCATCTTCTTCCAAGGATTCCATACTTGCGCCCAGTAAGTCTCGTAGGTGTCATCTCCGGCAAGGGCAAAGGCGCGGAGGGTGTAGAACTGCATCACGTAGGAGCATTTGGAGAAGCGCGGATCGGAGAAGGCTTCGGTTAGGAGTCGGGAACGATCCTCGGGCTTGGCCGCACCAGACAGGATTGCAAAGACTTGACAATGTTGTGAATAAGCATCTTCACCTGCGATTTCGGCTGTCGAGTCGGTAAAGAAACGGCCGTCGAAGCAGTGAGTCTGGATCGCCTCTATGATAGAGGCAGCACGGGACTCGTATTCATCCGCGTAGCCGGGTCGGCCGACATGGCGCACAAGCTGTGCCGCCTGTTTCAGCACATAGGCGTAAAGCATGCTGAAGTATGTGTGACGATTCGACTTGCGGCCCGAGGTAGGAACTCCTTTATCCGGATACTCATCAGTCGCCCCCCAGGCAGTCACCCAGTCAACGTATTGCCACACATCCTTGGGCAACCCACTAACAAGCCCAAGATCATCAATGTGTGAGTCGAAAAACTCAAACACTCCATCGATGCGCGGTAAGAAAGAGCGGCTGTACGCCGTGTCGCCAAAGAATAGGTGATGGTCGCAGACTTGCAGGACCCAGTACAAGGAGAATCCTGCAATAATCTGGGGAACATGCGATGGGAACCGTGACTGGGTAAGTCCCTCAGAGGTGATGGAGGCTGCAAAGTTGGTGATGGCCTGGCGCATCAAACGGTCGTCGCCGGAAAGCAGGTAGTGGAAGAGTCCCACGGATCGCGAGTCGCCAGAATATCTGAGAGATGAGTTAGCACTTGTTTGAAAGAAGACTCGGGGGGTACTGACTGAAGCTGCTCGTAGAATGGACAGTCCGAGTACCCATCAAACATGCAGTTCCTCATCGTCCTGATTGAGACATCCCACATTTGTCCACTATGGGCGTCTCCAGGCTGTGACCAGGATGCCTTGACGGCCAGCGGATAGTTGACTTGGTCTGCTTGGAAAGAAAGAAGCTGGACAGGCTCGGGACCTACTGTCACTTCAAGCTGCAAAACGCGAAACGTGCGGAACCAGAATGGTTCATAAGTCACAGTCTGCGATGCAGGAATATCGATTGTAACATCATCGTAGGGACCGATAAGGTAAGAATCCTTGGTATCCAGGCGATCAGCTTTGGTTCGGAAGAAGGGATACGAGCGAGGCTTGAGTTCGTATCCTTCAGAGTAGGTTATCTTGAACTGGATCTGCGAGGCTTTGGCGGCTTGGAAAGACCAGCGTAGAAATGCCGTTGAATGAACATCCGCTTGGAGCTGGAGAGTATGGTGTGTGCCAGGGGCGAGATCCAATGTCTTGTTATTGGATAGAAATGAAGCCCAGCTGTCAAATGGGACATCGGAATCGCAACTTCGGATGGTTGTTACCCCAACGGGAGTTTGCTCGGGCATGGGAATCTCGCGTGGACGTAGGCGCCAAGGAAGGAGTTCGCCGTTGAGTGTTTTCATGTTGTATGCCTTGGGTGTTAGGGGTGCGGCTTGACTTGAGGGGGTGATGCGCTCGTTGATCTGTTTGGAGACGTACATCAGGTCATGTTCGAAAGCGTGAATTGGGGGACTCACATGAAGAAAAACATCGTCTATCAGGCCCATGGGGAACAAGATACTCTCATCCACCTTGGCCTGCCAGTCCTCTTTAGAATCGAGACAGATCTCGTTTGCGCCCGAGCTGACGCTGCCAATGACAGTCAAGCCAGGCAGTGAGGTTCTTTCGAACGGCATGCCACCCCGCGAGGAGGCGAAATACCTGATGACCACGAAGCAAATCTCATTTTCGCCAGTAGTGAGATACGGAGCAATGTCGAGAGTGTCATAGTACCATATTAATAGGCTGCTCCTGGCTGGACCTACAGCGACGCGGGTGCCATTGACCAGCAGCTTGTATCGGGTGTCGGCGGAGAAATGCAGCAGAGCCTGCGAAGGAGGCGCTGTGAGTGTGAAGCTGCGAAAGAACCTGACAATCCTTCCCGCTGTGTTCTGCGTTGACGAGTCAATCCAGTCGGGCACCCATATCCAGTTGGACTTGAGATTATTAATGATCTGTGAATGCATTTTGTCAATGATGCCACTGCCTGAGTCGCGAAGAGTACGTACAGCTTGCTCGGTTGGTGATGGCATGGCTGCAGGGATGTGATTGGCACGGTTCTGGTTGATGGCAGGCGTCTAGTGTGTCTGTGCAAAGATCAGCATTTGTGAATGGATAAGTTCGAGGGGATGGCACGTTTTTAACTCTAGGCCTGACGCGGTGGCTTCGGTACTCGGTTTATCTGTCACCGAAGCCGGGTTCTTCGTATCCTGTACCGACGAGGATTTTGTAAATGTCTCATTCGTATGGCGAGTTTGGAAATGAGGACTCGGCCACTTGTGCGAGATTTGAGATGAGAGACTAAGCCAGGTGTCAACTACGTTTCCACTCGGTCGGACGGAGGCGAAATGGTTACCAAGTCACTCATGATGAAGGGCAAAAAAAACAACAAGAAGTCAAATTTCACGCAAGGATGTGTTTGAAACAGATTGAGATGATTAACAGAACTATAGGCAAAAAGTAGGGTTGCATGGGAGGCTTGATTTTCTGTATCTACAAGCTAGCATTTAGGTCGAGGTTGATGGTTTACCACCACCACTCTCCTTATCTCATGTCCATCTCGGAATATTTATCATGCTTCAGGACAAGTGGATGCCCAAATCCTCTACAGTGTGATGAGCAAAGCCTCAGAGGCGCCTACAGTAAATGTTGCCTTTCCAGCGCTAACAGTGGCTGTCTCAGTCACGGCCGTACCCTGAATCTTGCAAGTTCCATCTTCAAAGCTTTGTCCTCCAACAGTCGCCTTCTGGCCCTGATCAATTCGGGAGGTTGAAAAGGGTGCAGTCAGACGCTTCGCGGTCACCTTGGACCCGGAAAGTCCAGTCAGCGTGTACACCTGGGTTGGGCGCGTGCCACTGATGAAGTAGTCCGAGTTGTACAAGAGGACTCGAATAGGGGCGCCATTCTTGTAGATGGCGTAAGCAGCGTATGTGGTGGTCTGGTCATCCAAGGGAGCAAGCTGATCGGCTCCAGCGAGGGCCATGGTGGCAAAGTACGCACCGAAGTAGGGAGCGCCCATGCTGTATCGCCCCCACCAACAGTACTGGCCTGTGATGCGTTAGGATGGTTGTCAAGTCACAACGATGGGAAATTGCTTACAGTTACCGATAGTGCCTTGGTGGAAGTAAAGAGCCTGTGGGACAAAACTCCGTTAGTCCAGACAGATCTCGCTACTATTCGATTATGGAGATCATACCTTGGTACCCTGGAGAATGGACTGGAGAACATAATCAAGAATCCAGAGGCCAGCACCAAAGGTTGGGCTGATGCCGCCACCTCCTTGAGTCGCTAGGCAAGATTGTCAGTATTCTGAGCCCTAGAGAGAACTTGAGCTGGAAAGAAAAGACTTACCGGAATTCGTCTCGCCAAAGATATGGGGTCTACCCTTGGCCGCGGCTGCGGCAGCTTCCGCTGCAAATGGCTTGATCTGTGAAGCAATGGCACTGTGGCTCATCAACTTGGCCAGGTCAGCATTGCCGCCGGACTGAGGATAGTTGTGCGAGCAGTAGTATTTGACGTTGTCGTTTCCACTCCCTTCAACGGCTGTAAGGCCCTTGATGCTCATGGGCGAGGTGCCGAAGAAAACGCCGGCCGAGATCAGGCCCGAGGTGGACAAGTTGCCACAGACTTGATCTTGCCACGCCACTTCAGAGGCATAATCGGCAGCGGCAGTCCAGGAAGCACCATTGGCGATGGGGTCACTGCTAGAGAAGACTTGAAAACAATGAGCACCTAACCGAGAGAGGTTTCTCGGGATTACTCACAGTTTGGTTCATTGCCGAGTTCGATTGCGTCGAGGTTCCCCATATTCTGCTTGGCAACCTTTGCAGCAGCAATAGAGTTGCCAATGTTGTTGAGTCGACGGTTAAGTCCCAGAATCACCTTGCCGCTGTATTGAGCTGCCAGCGACATGAACGAAGGGCCAAATGTGAGCGATGCTGGGGCATTCTTCGGGTCGGACACAGTGTAAGTCACGGCATTGGTGGAAGACGAATCGTACGTGGCTCGGTCCCTGAGAAAATGTTTGTGTTAGAAGAGTTGGCTGCAAAAGGGAGGTTTGCATACTGAGTGGTTCCTCCAATTCTCATAGGAGGCCAAGTCCCGGTCAGGTCCTTGAGGTTTTCCAGGCAGGGCAAGGTAGCAGCAACATTGTTGATGTACCCTGGAAAGGCAAAGAACTCGAGGCTTGAACTGGTCAATGTCTGTTCGTACTTCGCAAGGTGGGAAAAGTCTTACGAAACTCCAACTGGAGCTGCAGAGAGCTGGCTGCTGGCATTTGATGGAGGTGTGGCCGGGACATTGAAGGTCAAGCTGGAAGCCTGCCCCACAAGCCACATGGAGATAAGGAGACGCGTCATTGATGCTGAATAATTGGTCGAAAAAATATTGCAAGATGAGATGTCACGATAACTTTGATAACACAGATTAGAACAATTCACAGGTCACACCACGCCTTTTAAACTTCTTGTAAGCTCAGCCATCATCGATCTCTTTTCTTGTAACTCGTATACCCCGTGGGGAGATCTTTGCCCTCCGGGGCATGCTACAAGGGTAGCTAGCTTTGGAGAAGGACTTGTCGTGTCACGATGGCTCGGACCTCGTCACGAACAGCCTCGGCCAACCTGTCACCGGGTTGCTAAATTGACGTCGGATAATTATCCGTTCACTAGTTCGAAATGCTGGCATGTCTTTCGGTGAGATGCCTACCGAAAATAAGACCATTTCGGTCTCAATACTCGCGATTCTAATACCTGTTTGGTGTAGATTCGGCTGCTGTTGATGCGAAGATATAACAGGGACACGCACCACCTCAATGGACTTCTCTCCGATGCTCAATATCCTGGTATTGATGGTCAATCATGGATGTGGTGAATCATGGCTACGAGGTGTCTTACTTGTCAGTTAAGTTGCGCGCCCTCGGTTTGAAGTGCCCCGAACGCTCGGCTAAGCGGCACGCTTGGGTCGAACTACTGCAACTCGACTGAGAAACAAGTTAGTCGTTCGAGCAAAGGGGAAGCTCGTATGGGGCCCCGCGTTTGCGGACTTCCCCAGGTTTAGGTTTAGTTGATGCGGATGTTTTGTTTCTTTGGGCGGCCACAACAGCTCCGGTTGACCTTGACCGCGGCCAGACATGTATAAAGGAGCTTGTCTGTCTGTTGCTTAATACCCCAACACAGACCAGCCAACGCCTCCGAAGCTTCATCAAGATTTCACGTTAGCTCTCGGCTCTACCAACATGCAGCACGACAAGCAAGACACCGAGATGGTGGAGCGTCGCGACTCCGGGAACGCGGCCACCATGCCCGTGATGCGGTCCAGGTTTGATGACCTTAGCGTCTGGCAGAGTGTGCGTCGCTATAAGCACGTCGGCCTCATCGCTATGACTGCGGCCTTTTGTGCCTCTTTAGATGGATATCGTAAGTATCCAGCCGCCTCAGCTACCAATCTCCACTAACCAGTATGACTCGCAGAGATCAACCTCAACGGTGGCATCGTCTCCAACAAGGGCTTCATCCGCCAGTTCGCTAGCCCTGGGACAACCATCATTGCTGGCAAATACATCTCGGCTTGGGGAGGCATTCAGTCTGCCGGCCAAACTGTCGGCCAAGTTGTACGTTGTCCTATTCCTTAGGATTTGGAACTCCTCTTAACAATGCTCGCAAGCTTCTTCAATACGCCACTGAAGGTCTGGGCCGCAAGCCTGCGCTTCTGATTATCTGGGTTACCCTTGCCGCTGTAAGTATTGAAGTCCAGGGGTTCTCTAACCAGGTATGGCATGGTTGACTTCTTGGCAGAGCATCTTCACTGAGACATTCGCTACCTCCTGGGATCACTGGCTGGTCGCGAAACTTCTCTCCGGTATGGGTGTTGGTATGCTGCAATCCACCATGCCTCTGTATCTCTCCGAGATCTCGCCCACCCAGCTAAGGGGTTTCTTCATCAACGCGTATACATTGTAAGTCTCGAATTACGTCAGCCACCTTACGGAAAGCTCATTCCTTCTAGCTGGTTTGTCCTGGGTCAACTCTTTGCTTCTGTCGCTCTGAACAGGCTCAACGCCAGTAACCCATACGACTTCCGGGATGCCATCTACACACAGGCAAGTCCAACATCAAGCCGCTTTCGATCATCACTAACTCTTCAGCAGTGGGGAATGATTGGCGTCATTCTGATCATATTCCTCTTTCTCCCCGAGAGCCCTTGGTGGCTGGCCAGCAAAGGCAAGACTGAGCAGGCCGCCAAGGTTCTGCGCCTGTGCTACGGACGCGTTGAGGGCTACGATGTCCAGGAACAAATTGTGCGTCCCTAGAATAGCGAGCATCTATCACTGCTAATCCCCGGCTTCCTGTAGGATATCATGACCGCCACGGTCGCAATGGAGCGCGCACAAGCTGAGCGGGACCAGGAGGTCGGTCCATGGGCAGTCTTCCGTGGCCGCAACCTCATCCGTTTCATCATTGCTGGATGGCCCAAGGTTACCCAGCAATTCGTCGGCCTGGCCGTCTTCAACACTTACGCGACATATTTCTGTATGTGACCTCCTTTCACTTTGTTACTGTCTGCACCGAGCTAACCGCAAAATAGTTCAATACGCCGGCAACAAGGATCCTTTCCTCGTGACCCTGATTCTTTCCAGTGTCCAGCTCATTTCCATGATCGCCACAGCCACTCTTACCGATCAAGTCGGTCGCCGGCCATTGACGGTATATCCCTACGCCGTTACTGTCGTGTCGGTTCTGTGCCTTGGCATCATCGGTTGCTTCGACTATACTGCCAAGGCCACTAGCTCACTTCTTGTAAGTAATATAGCGTTTCTCGGCAAGCTTCGACTAATTGTGAATTACTAGATCTTCTTTGCCTGCCTCGCAACCTTCTCGACTACCGGTGCCTCAGCCATCGGCTACGCCTACGCCACTGAGATTCCGCAACAGCGCCTCCGTGCTCGTACCGCTGGATGGTCTCTTGCCGTGTCGAACATGATCGCCATCATGTTCAGTTTCTGCACGCCTCTGATGATCAATGGTTCTGTGACTCATTGGGGTGTTAAGACCGGATTTTTGTGAGCGCATGCGCCTTCGATGCCGAGTCTTCATCGTGCTAACAAGCACAGCTTTGCGGGAACCGGTACTGTCGCCGTCGTGATCGCCTGGTTCATTCTTCCCGAGGTTGCCCGCCGAACGCCCGGTGAAATCGACGAAATGTCAGTCAAAGATCAACTTTATCTCCCTTATGTTATGTTCGCTTGGCTAACCATTTGCTCCACTAGGTTCGAGAAGAAGGTCAGTCTTCGCGGCTTTAAGAACTACGTTACCGAGGTCCAGCTCAACGCAGAGCACCACCAAGATAAGACACAGGGCGAGGCTTGATAGGTCGTCTGAGGAGAGATTTTCCGTAGTCACTTGGAAGCGTTTTGTCCTGCAAGAGGAGTGTTATGTTGAGGGTGCTTTCACATCTTGCCTTTCGTATCCATGTTTGATAGGAGACTCTTCTGTCAGCGGTGGGAATAGCTCATATAATAAACGACGAGCGAATCACTATATTTTACCTATGGGCCTTGTAAAATCCATCTTATCAGGGTTTCCAATTCCCCTAAGCTCCCAAAAACTTACCTACCTGGTCAACACAATCCACTAATTACACCCAAGACGACGACGGGGCCATTTCCCCACTTAGCACCGCCGAAGAAAAGAAATTCACAGTGAGTAATAAAGCAAAGTTCAAGGTTAGAGGAAAAAACGAGTATACTTTAGGACGAGTGACGAGGCTTAGGCACAGAACCTAAACTCTTAGATTGTTCTCAGGCTAAAAAGGACCCGCCCCAGGGGGACAGAATTCTGTCTCCACGTGACTGAACAATCCGCTGCCGAGATCGGCCTACCTGACCAAGCGCCCGACCAACTCATGTGAACCTTTGATCCTAAACTAGAGGGATTTCTGCGAGTTCAACTCTGTCAATACTGGTCATCTCTACTGAATGATTTACGTATTGCCTACCTAGGGGTGATGCTGCTCACTTCTTGTCTAATAGTTCGATATAACTACACCAATGCTAGGGCAAGTAAGTCATTCAAAAGCAAATTCATTAAAGCCAGAGTTCATCTTAGAGCCAGGCACCATCGCTACTAAAGTCCACAGTAAAATCCTGCAAATCAAGCGGAAATCCAAGTAATTTCATCCCATTCTCAAGCACCTGTCGCGCATTCTGATAGAGAACCAGACGGGCCTTCTTCTCCCCTCGACTGCTTTCCTGCTGCACAGTCCGTACGCTCCCTCGTTCATCTTCATCCTCATCGTCGTCTTCGTCAGGATGCGGCACAACCAGTGACAGTGAGTCCATCAGCCTGTACAAGTAGCCAAGCAGTGAGTGTGGCTCTGCAGACTTGTACGCCGCGGCAACGACTTCAGGGAACTGGGCCATGACGCGCAGCAAGTTTGCGCAATCGGGGTCCTTCAGTGCCGCATAGTCTATCTCAGAGCTTGCGACACCTTCGGCCCTCGATTCGTTGATTAGAGCTGTGAGCCTTGTGTAGCACCCTTGAAGCATGGGACCGGAATGAGAACTGAACGACGTCAACTTCTTGAGCTCAAAGGTGTAGCCGTGGCTCTTCTTCTTGGACATCTCCTGAGCGAGCAAAGCTCCGACCATGGCGTTGTTTGTAATCCTCTCGGCTGCGCTGCCGTCGACATCATCATCATCGTGCTCCATGTTCATGGCGTCTCGCATTCTGGCCTCACAGTTGTCGAGAAACTCTCGCAGCGAATTTGCCTCAAGGCCCTGCATGGCACCAAAGCTGATATGTTGCAGCTTTTCACTGAGATCCGATCGTCCCATGAGCTCGAGAGCCGTCAGGACCTGTTGGAAGTGGCTGTCTTGGGCGGAGGAGGTCACGTATATCATCTTGTCAAAGGCGAACTTCTCTTCCCGCTCGAGCGCCGCGGCCACATCACGGAGGGGATATCGTGTAGCACCGTCGCGTCCACGAATAACTTGTGTGCTGAAACTTTTCCTGCCGGTGTGCTTGACCCAATCTATGACCCACAACTTGTTAATTTCTGTCAGAATTCCCTTCTCTTTCAGCATGTTCTCGACTTTGGTGATTGTTGCAGGTTGGACTTGTGATTCACCCGAGTATTCATCAAAGGTGATACCAAGACGTTGGTACTCGGCCCTGAGGTCCTCGATAGTGATGCCCCTGAAATGGCTGGATTGCCTCAGAGCCTCATCATCGCCATCCTCCATCTTCTTGAAGATCTCGTCTCTTTCCAAAGCAATCGTCTTGTCCTCCACAGGGGAAGCGCATCCTTCGCCTTGCTTGGCTTTGCCCTTTGGGTCTTGCACGGGCTTGAATAATTCATTCATCTGCGCGTAGACGTCGAGAAGATGGATCGACCTCTCTTGTTGCAACTTTTTCTCGGAACCAAATCTCTTGTAGCCCGCGGCAAGCAAACCGACGTGCTTGCCCCAGTCGGCGAGGTAGTTGAGGCGCACAACCTCCCATCCCATAGCCTCGTACAAATTGGCGATGAATTCACCTAAAAGAGTGCTTCTGAGATTGTTGCCGTTGAAGCCGGTGGCCACGTTTGGAGAGGAAAACTCGATGACGATCTTCTTTTTGCCTTTCTTGGGTTCCTTTGCGTCCCGAAGCCCCTGCGAAAGGTCGAATCCATACGCTGATTTGCGATCGGCAATGTATGGCAAGAGAAGTCGCGGCAGCGTGTCAGGTGAAAATGTCATTCGAAGCTGAATGTCGTCTACCCTTGGTGCCAAGAACAAGGATGAGAAAGGCAACTACAAAGGCACGAGTTAGAGCAGAATCAAGCATGATCCTACAAGATGGGGTTGTCAAACCTGCGCTGCTACAGAAAAGGCCAACCTATTCAAAGCCTTGTTGTCGGCATCCTTGAGCTTTAGTCGTGGGAGTATAAGCGTCAAGTCCCCAAGCGAGGTTTCGGTCGTTGAGGCAATGGCCTCTTGGATGGTGGTGGCATCACGATTGAGAATGCTCAGCTTCGAGAGGAATTCAGCAAGATAAGAACGCCAAATCTCGACGGGTCTCGTTAGTGCAATAGCTGAGGCACTTTTTGGCATGGGCTCCAAAGACAGCCCGTGAAGGAGGGCGTTGAGCCCAGCCACGGTGTTGGTAGGCGATGCCATCGTGAGTTGAGCTGCAGCAACCAAGCTGTCTCTCCTTTGCAGCAGAGATGAGAGAAATTGGAAATGATGTGTCCAACTTATCTTCTCCTTTGGGCTTCAAACACCTCTTCTGCATTGCTGACTTGGGCGTGGGTGGTTGGGCCGTGATTGGGTACAACAGTGAGGCGTATTCCCTGCACCACGGGCCTCAGCTCCCACCATCTCATCATGCCCCAAGTGACGTGGCCGGCAACTCATGAAGGCTGCCAGAGGGGAGATTCAATGCCATAGTGTGATTTGCCGGACACCTTTACAGCGCTGGCTTGCTATGCAGTGCATTGTGATTTGTCAATGTGCAACCACTCGCCTTATCCTTTCAATTTGCACTGGCTGATGATGGAGCTTTTCAACCGCCTGATTCCGATCAGTTTGCCCAATAAGAGCCAACCACGCAGCTTACCATCCTCCTCGCGAAGTAATAAGCAAAAATCGCGGTATCTCGACGGCCTCACTCCTTGGCCTAAGGCCCACGTTGGCCAGCCTTACAATCGCGAGAGTCTGGACCTAATGTTCTAAAGATCCCGCATAATCAGCTCCATTCTACACTTTACCTTTTCAATGTTGGGCTGTACACGGGATGAGCTTGAGCGTCTATCTTTCTTAGTGTATTGCCTTCCAAGGCACTTCTCACCAGTGCCCAGTTCGTCCTGAAATGGAAGCAGATGAGCCTTGGGCTTTCGGATAGCACCTATGTTGGACGAACCTAGAGATAATTAACTATCTTGAGACATGTGATGCGTTATCTCATCAACTCACTTCCACGCAACGGGGCACACTCGAGTACCAATTACATCCAAGTCGTCACGTGTCGAACACAACATCGAGATGTACGACTCGCATGGAGTGCGGGGAAGCGAGAACACCTTCAACTGATCGTTAGCTACCGATTGTACTTCAATTATCTCATATTGTAAGATCAAAACAATACCACTCCCATCATGAGTGACCCAGCCAGCCGAGCCGATCTCACAAAGCGCCAAATTCCCTCAATGACACTCGCAACTGGCCTCACCTCCTTACCCGGTGCTGGCACGCGCATAGCCTCGCGTTCCGATGACGCCTCATCTCGGTTCACTGTTCCGGGGACTGCAGTGGTCACCGGAGGTACAGGGAACATCGCGTTGACCGTTGTCCGGGCTTTGTTGCAGCACGGACTTAGCGGGCTCATGCTGCTCGATCTGGATGTTGCCTCGGAAGCTGCTCGAAGAAACATTCATCAGCTTCAAGAAGAGTTTCCTGGAACCAAGATTGAGTGTTTTTCGGTCGACGTTACGGATGAAGGCGCCGTTGCTGATGCTGTAGCCGTGACGGTTGATCTCTTGGGATCGGTTGACTACCTCGTCTGTTTCGCCGGAATTGTCAATTGCGGTCATGCTCTCGACATGCCGGTCAGCGACTTTAGAAAACTACTGGACGTCAACACGACAGGGAGCTTCATCTGTGCGCAAGCAGCGGCAAGACAAATGGTCAAGCAGGGGAACGGTGGTCGAATCGTCTTTATTGCAAGCATCTCAGCCCATCGAGTCAACTTTCCCCAGCCACAGGTTGCATACAATACCTCCAAGGGGGCTATCCTAATGCTCAAGAGTAGCCTCGCTGCCGAATGGGCACATTACGGGATCACGGTCAACAGCATCAGCCCTGGGTACATGGATACTATCTTGAATGAGGGAGAGGGCTTGGCTCATGCAAGGCAAACGTGGGCAGAGAGAAATCCGAGCGGTAGAATGGGATTGCCCGAGGAGTTGAGTGGCATGGTTCTTTTGTTGTGTTCCAAAGCTGGCAGCTATATCAATGGCGGGGATATGGTAGTAGATGGTGGCGGCATTGTGTTCTAGAGGTCAAATAAGTACTTCATTATAATAATCGGTGGTATTAGAACTGCTCATGCTTCAAAAAAATACACAACAGCATATTCCGTACAAACCATCGGATTTAGTTGCCCTGCATTTCTTCCATAAGAGCGTCATACCAAGCATTAAGAGCCTCGTCCACATCGAAACCTCCACCATCCAAGAACTCGTTGACTTGATTCATATAGGCCTCCACACCATCTCCCATCGAGTACACCATTTCATCATTAACATCAAAAGTGAGACCCTCAGACGTAGCATACGGTTCCGGAGGTACCGTCGAGTCAACGTGGATGGACTCCATTGGCGATGTCTCGGTGACCGAGGTCCTTGAATAGACTTTGTTGCTCACAGCCTGGAAGAGATCTCGGTATCGTCTAAAATAAGATGCTTTCATATGGGATATGCCACGTTCAATGATATCAAGGCAAGCACTCGTGTCACCCATATGGCGGTATACCCTTTGCGCATCTTCAGTCCTCGTTTGAGGCAGCGCCATGCTTTGCCTGCGAGTCTTATTTCAGCAAGCAAAATTGATCAGGAGGGTGACATTGCTTACCAGTCGCAGTATAGAGCAGCCAAACCGACTAAGAGAATGTCATGGAGTTGTCTAAAACAACGACACACTGCCGAGATGCCATAGTCTGCATCAATCTTTGACCAATGGTGAATTGCAGTCGATGCAGCTCTAGAACAGTATGAGGCCATCTGACGGGAGGGAACCATAAAAGTCGGCGACGGTCTATGCAATAAAAGTTGCAAGAGACAGTATTCGATCTTCATCTCAGAATACTCGCGAGAAGGTTTCAGTGCCATCCCTTCCAATTGCTGCTCCCATGTCTCAAGATCGCGACGGATTTGGTCAGATGTTGCGCAAATTTGCTGAAATGTGGTGTCCATGGCTGTGCCATCTGGTCCTCTGGCGATGTAGATGGACTCGAGAATACGGCCACCAATCCGACGAAGGGCTATAATGTGGCGCAAAGGCTGAACGTTGTGTCTGTGGAAGATGGGTGCTGCTAAGCTCTCGAGTGTATTCAAACTGTCAAAACTTGAAGGTTCAGGCAACAAAGCGTGTATGGCATGGTCACGTATGGACAACACGCGACCTGTGATTGTAGCAACTTGTCTGTCACACCCGTTAGCTTAAGTCCTCAACCTCTAACAAGGTCCTACTAACCGCTCGAGATTATAGGCACACCACCACGTCCGATTCCTAACTTCCAACTCCTCAGCTGTAAATCCCCAGTCGGTATTGTGTCTATGTAGTCCAGCCTCAATGGCACAGGACATGATGTATCTGCTGAGTTGCCACATATCATTGTTGTGGCTGCTGCAAGACGAGTCAAGCATCCACACAGCTAATAACAAGACTGCCTGTATGCCAAAAAGATCTCGAGGATGATCATGGAAGCTGTTGAAAAATCGTAGAGCTGTTTGGAAATACGAGGTAGAATCGTTAAGATCCAGTGTCGCGGGGGAATCGTTGTCCTTCAAGGTGACCTGGCAGCTCCCCAGCGCAAGCACAATGAACACGATGAACTTCTCGTGGTCGGCGCATTGCCTTGGTTCTTGATATATGTGCTGAAAGACTCTCCTTAAGTAGGGTAGTTGAAGGAATGGCCACCAAATGTGAACGCGAGCGATATAAATGGCGAGTAGAGATCGAGCAACTGGTTGGGGTGGAAGAGCAGCGGACCTCTCCGATGGACACATGTCGAGGCTTCCCCCTTGTTGGCCAGTGGCCCATGAAGGGACCAAATTGAGTTGCTTGAAGAATATTCTCGCGAATGTTGATCCAGCAGCGCTGCCCACTAGAGGGTATAAATCAGTGAGCCTAATAGTGAGCGTCAACGTTACTCACCATATTTACTTCCAGAGTACATATTTGATCCTCCAGTTGTGAGAAACCCCACCTCTTCAGCTTCCTTTTGAAGATTGGCTGGCACTGGCTGTACGCTTTGGGATGTGGTGCTGATGACTAGGTTTGGTTGGTCCGGCACGTCGCGTAACCTCGCCTGTAGATCATTGATCTGATCCTGAAGACTCTGTAGTACAGAGTATGGATATGAGACGCATTCAGTGATATTACACACATCGTTTTGTCTTATACATGCAGAACACCGGGGTACTTTGAGATCACACTAAGCCGTCGGAGTCAGCCGAGGTTGAAAGTTACTCATCGTGAGGGGTCAACCTTGACTTTTCGAGCATGGCAGCGACTACACGCCTTGGAGACAGATGGCTGGAGATTGGAGAGCATATGGTAATTGGTGTATTGGAGGGCCTAGATGTGTTTGACAGTTGGAGGAATGAAAGATAGTAAAGTCCAAATCTTCGGACGGGTCCGGGACTGTGGAGATGGACTGATTGACGCCATGGCACGTGAGGATAGTCCGATGCCGGCCTAGTGCTCGGATGGGAACTCAATTCTATCAGTTCCGAGAGTTTACCCTGTATCAATTATTTATCGACATGCTTCTCAGCAATAGTGGCCTCTTCTCGAGTTTTCATCCTCATTCTGCTTACCTTTGTCATCCTGGAGATCTCGGCTCCAGAACACAGTAATCGCCGCTTACCGTAGATGTCACCCATGACCATTGAAACAAATGTCCTAGCTGTCATTACCATCCATACCTAGCCAAAGAGACATTCATGTCGCTTGTGTTCATTCGGGAACAAGGTTTATCAAATGTCCTAGTATGTAGATAGTAAACACTGGGTTACCACCGGACATATTCTCTCTCTCTGCAGCTACTGGTTCTACATTCTCTGAACAGATCGCCTTTCCAGTAGTAGTTCTTGAATTTTGAAGTGACGTTTGAGTGTTACAACGTGCTGAATGCTACCCTTCATCTTCAATCACTTGTGCAAGTGATCAGCAGTCACATGTAAGCCCCAACCGAGACATGGATGTTTGCATAAACCGGGCATAGACATTATTTCCCCGAAGAAACGCGTTAGAAATTAAGGTTCATCCTGCGCGCATCAACAAGCTTATGACGGTCGGACCTTTGTAAATCCGAGTGGTGACACAACACAGGGTGGTATCCCTTCTTCTCCTTCCCGACTAATTTCTTACTCTTCATCTCTCTTTTGACTTGGCTAATTTAAAAGTCATGGCTTTGAAGGGATTTTTCGTGAGTTTTCTCATTCTCGAAACAAGAATGATACTGACCGACTTCAGGGCGTTGTAGCGCTGGGTCTCCTCATACCCTTTTTGTATGAGCGCTCTGCCGTTCTCTCATTCTTCTATAAAAACACGCCTGCTCGGCTCCCCCGGATCAACTCTCTCGGCAAATATGAGATCAAGTTTGAGGACCATATGAGGAGCTGCGAAGATGTTTTCCTTCTTGAGGAACATCACCTGGCCATCATTGCCTGTGATGCCGGCAGGGAGCGATGGAACACGGTCATGGTATGGATGCCGAGAGCTCTCTTCTCTTTGCAGATCTCACTAACTTAAGAGTAGGGTGTGTTCCTTGACGGAGAAGTCGCCAACGCTGACCTCTGGGCTTACGATTACGAAAGTGCATCCAAACCAGATGCCGAATCTCTCATCCGTATCAAGCTCACAGACTTTGCCTCTGCTCAAGACTTCCACACGTTAGGGCTTGCCTATCACAAGGAGACATCCACGCTCTATGTGACGAACCATGCCAAGGCAGGACCTCGAATTGAACTGTTCAAACTGGACGTCGCGTCATTGACAGCAAAGCACATCCGCACAATCGAACACCCTCTTATCCACGCTCCCAATGCCATTGCTTTGATTAGCGACAAGGAGTTCTATGTCACAAACGCCCACTACTTCACCAGGGCGCAGTCGAAATTCCTAAGTCTCATGGAAACCTACCTCGCCCTGCCTCTTGGTCCTGTTGTCCACGTGAGCCTTGAGCACCCTGAGGTTGAGGCAACTGTTGTCGCTCGAGTCCCTTTCGCGAACGGTATTGAAGTGCTCAACAGCTCGACAGTGGCGGTTTCTTCCACTTCTTCAGGGACTGTTTTCCTATTCAACACTCCAGACAAGCTGACATTTGAGAACCCTACCAAAATTCGTGTCTCATTCCTCCCCGACAATCTCTCTTGGGCTAATGGCAAACTCCTTATCACCGGTCACCCGTTTGTGCCGGCATGCAACAAATTTGCCGAGACACGACATATCTGCAATGACCCGAGCGAACTTGAGGCTGCATCGCCAGAGATGAAGGAGTACTGTGCCAAGGGCGAGGCGACTTCTGCTGTTGCGGAGTGGAGTGAGGAGGGTGGATTGAAGTATCTTTACTCCAGCACAGAGTTCCCTACAAGCACGACAGCTGTGAGGGACGCAAAGAGAGGCGTTGGTATCATTACGGGACTGTACGCCAACGGAATCCTGGTCTGGCGGGAGAATCAGTAATGCGAGTGAGGCCTTTGCTGTAATCCTCCCCTCATTTCGACCATTGGAATTCCACTGAGACAGTTTCATCGCATGAGACAAGTCTAATTAGTCAGTACTCTAAATCTGCAAATCATTGTGCAGTATTGTAGAACATTACTATTCATATCTACAATGCGCTGAACAGCTGCACTCCTCTATACATACTCATGACCAGAACCAACTATCTAGTATGTGTATCGGAAGTTGGGGTTCTGTCCATCAGTCTGGTCGTTCCTCTCTGCCTCCAACCCAGCATCGATGGTTTCATGGGCCTTTCCATGCTGCGCATCTCGCTTCTTGTTCTCGACTGCACAGAGGACATAATACGCCATGCCAGTCGCTGCCATGAGGGCGAACGCGCAGAGCATGGAGCCAATTCCCAGCGCATACGTGGGCGCCTGTCTATCAAGGAAGAACTGGGGTCCAACGATATTTCCAACAGCTAAAATCAACATCTGTTAGCAAAATGTCGTTCTTAGCGCAATGGGTATATGCTTACCATAAACAATCGCGATAGAGATACCCATGAAGCTCTTTTTGGTCGCACCGGCGGTGTTGGAAGAGGACAAGCTAATGAGAAAGACCCATGGGACGTTGTAGAATCCCATGAGATACACACCGGCAAGGGAAGCATCTCTTTGAGTCGCAACATCAAGAGAATGAACCATCACAGCACCAACCAGGCCAAAGATTGCGCCCATGATCCAGAAGATGCAACGCAAGTTGGGGATAAAGTAGGCAATGGTGGTTAGAATGGCCTGACTGACCATAGCCACGGCGGCTTGGGGAGTAGCCATAAGAACAGTCTTTGTCCTACTAAAGCCGTAACCCGCAATGATGAGTGGGTTGAAATTAGTGATGCCCGCATTGGCGATGGCGTATCCAAAGACTCCAAGCCAGATGCAGTAGCATTTGGGGTCACGGAGGGCTTCCAAGATCTGGGGTGTGTGGAATGCCTATGGCAGCCTGTTAGCATTTTGAGCTGTCAGTCCGTAATGGCTTATAATAGCTCACCCTCTTTGATTCAACGCCAGTTTGGTTTGGTGCAAGTCGAATGAGAGCCAGCTTCTTCTCTTCGGCAGTAAAGAACCAAGCTTGAGACGGAGTGTCAGGAAGGCCAAAGAACACAAGGGTTCCGGCAAGGACAGTGACTGATCCGTAGATGAGGAAGATGTACTAAGGAAGAGACTCATCAGTATGGAACTACTTCCAAGCCCACATGTCGTGAGAGGAAAACACCGCAAACTCACCTTCCAAGTGGACAAAGACCCGTTGATTTGTCCGATAGCGTAGGACAAGATACCACCAAAGACACCAGCAAAGGTGTTGTACCAGAATGCTGTGCGAAGAGGTTGCTCGTGCCTCAAGTACCACATCGAGTTGATAATCATCATGCATGGCAGGACAGCAGCCTCAAAGATTCCAAGAAGGAATCGAATCGTCGCCAGACCAGCAAAGTTGTGACAGAGTGCCATGAAGCATAGAGAGCCTCCCCACAAGACCAAACACGTGCCGACATATTTGCCAATGGGGATCTTGGTCATGAGCCAAAGGTTGGGAAATTCCATAGCCAGATAACCAAAGTAAAAGATGCTACTGAGCCAGCTGTACTCTTGCGGCTTGAGGTGGGCATCCTCTTTGATACCAAAGATGGCAGCGTAACCAAGAGCGTTCTAAACTTCAAGTCAGTACATTGTTCCTCGCGGCTGACGATAATCAATACCTTGTCCAAGAATGCAAGTGTCATACTCAAGACAGCAAGTGGCATGACAACCAAGTCGGTCTTCAAGAGGAGACGCTTGGCCTGGGCCTTTGTCAACACTGCATCAGAACCATCTCCACCATCCGAAGACACTGTATGATGCATGTCCTTGCCGGGATCTTTATCAGGGGTCTCGTGAAGTGACATGGTCTCAGAATGTGTACAGAAAATGAGATATAATCGTGATGTACAGGAAATCGATGGAAGATTGACGGCGATCCATGGGCTTCGTTTTATAGAGTCGACACAAGATATGGAGTCGCAAAGTTAGCTTCCCAACTCCCCGGATCTCGTGGGGCAAACCCAGATAACATGGAAGCGTTGATAGTGCGCTCGGTGTACATCGAAGCTCTCGGTGGAGACCGAGCTCACCTCTCGGACGCTACCGAGATGACTATGCTCCTTTAGGCGTGCTCGAGTCAATCAAGTCGTCGCATCGAGAGTGAAATACGGGGCCGAGACACGATAACAGACGAACCACAGGGCGTGCTGATGACGATAGAGCAGCGCTGCTATCACGCAAAGAAGACGGTGGGTTTTAGCAGGAGAAATCCCGTCAGGCACGAGTATTTCCGCAAAACTTGTAGCAGAATCATATGACACCATAAATTCTGACCCTCCCGGACCCAATTAACAGGTGGTTTGTTCCCTGTAACGTGAGGCATTATGAAGCTGTTAACGATTTCGGCTCATTTCAAAGAGTTGTACCTGGTGACAGCACCCAGACCTAGCCAATAAGGCTTATCTCTCAGCCGACGATAAGTCGGACCCGTCCGAATTGACTTTCGGCGTTCTTGCTCGGCTACGACCGAGTCAACCGCCGGTCGACACCGAAGCACGCCATATATATGCACCTCAGGCAGTATAACTCATTTCTTGCAATCTACATAGTCGTGATTGAGAGCGTTTGGTCATTGAGCTTCTCTTCAAACCGCATTATCGATATCAGAGCCTCACAATGACAGGCCAAAACACTGCAGACAAGGGCTCCGGCTCAACACACTCATCTGTGCCCAACGCCAAGAATGAGACTATTCGAGTAAGATAACCTCTATGGCGGCACTATAGATGCAATTGACTGACCAATCAAGGTTGGAATTCGCGATGGCGTCACAGGAGAGTTCAAGTTGGTTCCAAGAGCCGAGGCCGTAGTCTCAGTTTTTGACTCCAACTTCCTCATTGGAGATGGCATATGGGTAAGTTGTTTATCGAATCACCGCATCTTTTGTTTGCTAAGTCATCTATAGGAAGGGATTCGCGCAAACAAGGGCCGCGTCCAATTTGCTCGAGAACACATCAACCGTCTATTCCAATCCGCCAAGGCTATGTACATGGACCTTGGCCTCTCAAAGGGAGATCTTCTCAGATTGATCCATGATACTCTCGATGCAAACGACATGGGTCGAGATGAACATGTTCACATCCGCCTCGTCGTGAGTCGTGGCCTCAAGTCCACGCCATACCAAAACCCCCGCGTGAACATCGGCCTGCCCTTGATCGTCATCATTCCGGAATCAAAGGCCGTTGATCCCAACTCCAAGAGCCGAGGGTTGAGACTTGCTACGACGTGGGTTCGACGCGGTCCTCCTGATGTCAAGGATGAGCAGTGGAATCACATCTCCAAGGCCACTGACGTCCAAGCTTGCATCAGCGCCAACGTTATGAATGTTGACGAGGCACTTATGCTTGATCTGCGCGGGTTCGTCAAGACGTGTAATTCGGTCAACTTCTTCATCATCAGAGACAATGAGGTCTGGGCTCCTACCAAGGATAACCAGATGCAGGGTATCACACGTCAAAAGACGATTGATGTGTGTCGAGCCAACGGCATCACTGTTTGTGAGCTCGATTTTACCCTCACCGAAGTTTATGGTGCGGATGAAGCTTTCTGCACCGGAACGTTCCCGTCACAAATACATGTTACTGAAGTCGATGGAAGAACAATCGGTGATGGGAAGAGAGGCCCGGTCACTGAGAGGATCCAGAAGCTCTATTTGGAGCTTGTGGGCAAGGATGTGGGCAGGCCAAGAGATGAAATTATGGCCGAGGTAACTGCTCCGCGGGATTTGAGCTTTTTGAAGGCAAGTCGATTATAAGGGATTGGCTCGCCGCAATTTCTAGTCATGTCAGTGTTTGTGAGAAATTGGCAAGGACAAATCAGACGAACTAGGTTTTGGGCAAGACAAGCTAGATGTTTTTCGCCATGAAATGGACGATGCAAAAGCTGAATGAAGGATAGATATAGCATTCAAGCTAGCAAAAAAAGTATTCACAATCGTTTTTACTGGGAAGTAATATTATTATTCTCTCTGTGCGACAACACCCTGATGGTTACAGTCCAGAATATGTAGTGCGTTCCAGGGTAGTCTTATCCTTGTGGTACCTATTAAGATGTGATGCTGGGAATGCCAAAATCGACCGAGATACTCCCAAATCCTAGTACTTCGTTGTATTGGCTCATATGATAGGTTTTCTGTAGTAGTGGTAAGTAGACCGACCATAATGGCCGTTCTCATTATTCTAGGGCCTCGGAAATGCTTCGATTTTAGCAGTGACAGAGTTTTCGGTATCACTGCTGTTCGAGACAACTTCACAATCACAGAAAATATCGGAAGCTCGGCAAGGCACTCGGAAATTATGGGGCCGGTCTCGTGGAGTTGTATGAGGCCGCGTAAAGAGAGTCGTCACGATGAACCAGTATATCAAGGTTCACAGGTCCTATATAGATATTTTTGGCCCCTACGCGGTCTTTGGGGTCTCACAAGGACCGGAACCGAAACCGAGACCGAGGCCGCGAAACACTGACCACCACACTAACTAATAAAGTTAAATGATTTGACATAGGGGTTCAATGCACTAGGGCTGAGTAGAGCAAGATCGAGCAATGATCCTCACATTGATGAACATCCAGCCAATGACGGTCAGTGCTGCTAGCAAATGCAAAACATACGCCGGTAGTTGTGCTAGGGGTGGCGGGATCTCCCTAACACTACCAAGCCTCTCTGGGGTCGGTTAGATTACGATGTGACAGCAGGAGTCGCCCTCGGAGTCGGCTTTGTTTGTGGATCTTGCATAGTGTTGATGAGGCTGCTGTCGTATAATGGTAACGTTGGCTATGTGACGCGTCCTGCGGCGATGCCGATCTCGAAATATATAAGGCAACCGTCTTGACCCGGTCTGGGATGATGTTACTACCAACCTACCATCTCCTATCAGCGACCCTCACCATGAAGCTCACAACCCATGCCCTACTGGCCATTTCTGCCAGTTCAGGCACTCTCGCATTGACCGTCAGTAGCACCGTTCAGAATGCCTGCGCTCAGCTGCAATCGGCATACCCCAAGGAGCTGCTGATGCCCAACTCCTCAGACTATGAGTCTGAGCGAATTAACTTCTGGGACATTAGGTCGAACAAGGAGCCGGCCTGCATCTTCCTCCCCACCACAGCTGACGCAGTCGCTGAAGCCGTTACCATTTTCCATAAGGAAAAGGCTCAGTTTGCCATCCGTGGTGGTGGGCACATGAATGTAAGTCTCCTCCACGTTCTCAATAGACCTAACTGACCACCTAGTACCCCGGCTCGAATAATATTGATAACGGCGTTCTCGTCGCCCTCAATGGTCTAAAACAGCTTGACGTCAACCTGAATAAGTCCACCATCGATGTTGGTGCCGGCGCAAAATGGGTTGACGTGTACACGGCTCTCGCTCCCCATGGACTCTACACCATCGGCGGGCGTCTTAAGACTATTGGCGTCCCGGGTCTGACCCTCATTGGCGGCGTTGGATATTTCCTCAACAAGTATGGCTTTACTATGGACAACGTAGTAAGCTACGACGTGGTGCTTGGAAACGGCACACAGGTCGTCGCTAGCAAAACTTCTAACCCGGATCTGTTCTGGGCACTCAAGGGCGGCGGCAGCAGTTTCGGCCTCGTCACCAATTTTGAGCTCAAGGCGTATGACGTCCCGCTCGTGAGCAGCACGTTTCAGATCTTCGACCAGGAGCACGCCCACGACTTCATCCGCGCGGCATGCAAGATGATCCTGTCCGAAGATGGAAGCAGGGGTGCCGGGGCTGTTGTCAACATCAACTACAATGCCACGACTAAACGGGCGACACCCCAGGTGTTTGGGCTCGAAGAGACGACAGAATCCCCGCCACCAAAGTTTTCCGTTTTCAGTGCCATTCCCGCCGTGAGCCGCACTAATGCTGTGATGCCGCCAGTCGAGTGGCACTCGAAGTTGGAGTCACCGAACCAAATGTTCCGGTGCGTTGCTCGACCACGTATTGCGGAACTCCTTGACTAATTCGTTTTTGCCAGTATTCAATTCGGCCATCACACCATCAAGCCTGACGCCGAGCAACTCATCTACATCTATGATCAATGGATGGAGACTATTGACGAGATCGCCGATGTCCCTGGAATCTTCCCCACCTTTATCTTGAACTTTGCCCCCAAGTCGGCAGTGACAGTTAGCAAGCGCAACGGCATTGGCAACACATTTGGTCTGAACGATGATCAGTCTTATATCTGTAAGTAAACTCAAGTCCTAAAAGGGTGCTGTTCTGACCATACGCAGGGTGGCAGTTTACTACGTCTTGGGCAAATGAGGAGGATGATTTGCGCGTCACGGCTTGGCAACAGCACCATCTCGCGCGGCTGCATGAGGATAACCGCGCCAAGGGCCTTGCGACGGATTTCTTATACATGGGAGATGCCGCAGAATGGCAAGATCCGATCCAGACCTATGGGAAGAAGAATATTCAGAGAATGCGCAAGGTCAGGGACGCCTATGACCCGGATTTGACCTTTACAAAGTTGAACTGGGGTGGCTTCAAGCTGGGATACTAGGAGAGCCAGTTGACCATGTCAATTGGTTTGGCTCCTGACAAGACTTTTCTTTCTTGATATGTATTTGTATTAAATATCGAACTTGGTTTTAAGCATATAGACATTTATAGACGTCGGTATAGTTGGGCTTGAGCACTTCTCTTATACTTTCTAAAGAGCTTTCATAACTTTACGCCGCACATATGTACAAAGTAACTCGCGGTTCGTCATAGCTACAGTCATAACCTCATATATTGCTCTTATCATGACCTACAACTGACCCCCGGTCTAAGAAATCAGCTTGGTGACCGACTTGCCCTTGTTAGCGCCCTTATACATATTTATCCACACATTGGGCACCTCCTCGATGCTGGCCTCAACCACGTCCTCGATATCAACCTTGATACGTCCCTCGGCCGCAGCGCCAATAATTTCCTCCATGGCCTTGGGCACCTTATCCATGTAGTCGAACATGAAGAAGCCCTTGATGGTCAATCGTTGAGATACAATCTCGAACCAGTTGCGTATTGTTGTAGGCTCCTCCGAGTTGTATATGCTGACCGCTCCGCAGATAGCGATGAGGCCGTGCCTCTTCATTCGGGTGAGGACGTCATCGAAGACGGCGCCGCCGACGTTATCAAAGAAGACATCTACTTCGTCTGGTGTCGCAGCCTTCAAGTCCTCAACAAAGGTAGGACTCTTGTAATTGACGCAGGCGTGAGCACCGAGATGGTTTCGCACCCATGCGCACTTCTCATCACTCCCAGCAATTCCTACCACCCGCTTAGCTCCTAGGAGCTTGACTGCAACCTGAACGACCATTGATCCTGTTGCTCCCGCAGCGGCCGAAACAACGACTGTATGTTCAGGCTTTGCTTCAGCCACGTGGAGGAGACCGACATAGCCGGCCAATCCAGAACCTCCAAAGGCACCGAGATAGTGGGTGATGGGTAGGCCGGCTGGCAACGGGGCCATGGGCTGGACGAGGGCGTCGTTCAGGATGGCCTTTTCACTCCACGAGGCAAGATGAAAATCCATAATCAAGTCACCAACGGTGAATTTCTTAGACTTGGATTCTAGCACCTCGCCGATAATGCCAGAGCGCATCGGGGCCCCGATCGGCACAGGGGGGAGATACATGCGGTCCTCGTCCACAGTACAGCCGATGAAGGTGCGAATTCCCGCATCGTTAGAAAAGTAAAGCACCTTGACCAAGATCTCGTCCTCTTCCAGGGGCGGCAGCTCTAATGTCCTGATAGTAAAAGTAGGGTTCGGACCAGTGATGGTGGGAGTGCCAACCGGCTTAGCAGCGAGGATCCATTGCTTTGTGCTGCGGGTTTCAGCCATTTTGGGTTGATGGAAGGAATTTTGTTGTAGGAAGCGATGCAATTGGTGTCTAGAATGTGGATTCTTTTTAATCTCGTCTGGACGTAGTATTTATACAATTTTCTTGATCTTGATCGACGTACGAAATGTTCCCTTGCCAGTGGGTCGGTGATTAATCGTCGCACGATAGAACCAACCTCGTCGAACCTGCATCAACTCAGACCATCCGCTTGCAGATATACCCGGGCTAGCGTACTCTCAACGTTTTGAAGTTGTGGGACGTGGGTTGACATGTGCGGCGTTGGTTCGCATAGGACCGGGATCATGGTTTGAAACGTCCACGGAGATTTGTTCCGAAAAGGAAATGGTCCCAAAAGAGGCGAGACTCCCGAGAGACTGGTTGCATGCGTTGTAGCAAGGTTATCGATGTCGGGAAGCTTAGCCGATGGCCCCCTTTCATAGTCGCGCCGGTAGGCTGGTAAGTCTGAGGTGTTGGCATTCGAGAGTATCTTTTTGACCAAGTATGGTCATCTCTACGTATATACGAGAGATCATTTACGATTTATTCAAAGGCAATTGCCAGCCAGGTCGCCAGTAGAACACGTAACATCCATCTAGAAAGGTGATATTCATGCCAAAACAATGTCCAAGTGCCTTCGTCTCGATCCGCAGCGAGACGAGCAAGTGGGTATACCGTTGAGGACATGTGGAGCATATTGATTCAGTTCTCCCCTCCATTACAGCGTCCCCTGATTCATGATAACGCTTCTCGGAGCAACGCCCGAGGAGAAGTTGACGGACGGTATTCACTACAAGCCAGTTGAAACGATTTGAAGAACGGACGTAATCAAGCCAACATTGGCCAGAGTAGAAAAATGGTTCAACCCACCAAAATCTACATAGATGTGTGCGCAAAATAACAACATGGGGCGCTATACTTCTCCCATGTTAACTACTGTCGTCCATAGAAAACCAAGGGTGGCTCAGAATCTCTTTTGCGCATAACCTCTCGGCAGTCTCGTAAACCAGAATCTTGGAGATCAAGTCAAACAGCAAACCTGCTTCTTCATCTGGAATTTTGGGCAACTCTTCCACCAGTGCATGCCACTCATTGTTGTAGCCCCGAAAATACTTGCCTCCAAAGTTGATGGCGGAAGGCTCCCAGAACTTCCACGCATAGAAGGGAGCGTGGGAGACCTCATGTGGATTGTAAAATGGATGCTCCTCTGTGTTGGCGACTTGGTCTTTTGGTCGATACGGCCCAGTACCCGGCTGGTCAAAGATGTCCCTGATCCATTTTTCAATCGACCGTCGGTCTGTGACTTCATCTGTGAGCCTTGAAAGTCGAACTCCTTTGGACAAATTCTTTCTCGGTCGCCCGTTAGAGTCAAATACTGGATCTCCCCAGGCTGCTGGCATCTTTCCCAGTACCCGGTGGATGGCGACCAGGAGGTCGATTGGGGAATCAATATCATAGGCGGAGAACAAGCCCTCCCCTGACCTCAGTCGTAATATGGAGCACCCAAGCGCCCAAATATCGCTTGCTGTGCCTCCAGATAAGCCGACGGCGACCTCTGGGGCGAGGTACTCAACCGGTGTGGGGAGCAGCTTTTCTGGGGGCGAAGAGGCGAGGAACGCATTGTCGAAATCTATAAGACAAATGTCTTCACTAATGATGGGTCGTCTCGCCATTAGGAAGTCAAGAGTTTTGACAATATACTTGGGTGATTCTGGTCCCGCGGGCTCTCCAGACTCAGTCTCTAAGGGCCCTGTCTCTGGTCTGCCAAGCACGTCGTAGATTTCATCCTCGGAGACGCCGTCCAAATCCTTGATTCGGAACATGATATTGGCAGGAGTCAAATCTGTGGCGATCCACGTCAGCCTCACAACTAGAAAAAGGAAATTGCGTATTGCTCACCTCCGTGGCAAAGTCCTTGCGAGTGCAATTCAGCCAGTGCCTGTGCCACCTGGAGGGCTACACTACGCGCTAGACGCGGCTGCATCCTACTCTCGAGATAGTGGGAGACCCTGTAAGCAGAGGGGCCCAGCACAGGGAGTACCAGGCACAAGTGAATGCCGTTTGGGCCATCTATGTAGAAGTACCGCTCGTAGGTGACAAATCTGTGGTCATGAAACGATTTCGACACGATGCTGTGAGCGAGGGTTACGCTGAATTCAATAGCCTGCGACTCTTCAGCAAGGACTATCTTGAGAGCCACCCAGGACAATTCAAGAAGGTCACGGGCCAGCCATATCGTTGCGTGGCCTCCAGCGCCAAGCTTGTGAAGGACCCGATACCGGCCCTCGTCAAACAAATCGCCAAGGTGGACGGGGTGAAACCCCCCAGTTCATACCGTTCCACCTCCTCTGTCTCACCGACATTAGGAAGAAGAAAGCGAAAAGAGCGACAAGACTCGTCATCATCTTCAATTGAAGACATCTTGGAGTTGAGGGTTGCAGAGAGGATAAAGGAGGTTGGGATAAAGTGGACAAGGTCACCTTGGAGGGGTTGGTGTTGGCTCTTCACTATCAGCGGATCTCAGTACAACGTTGCCTCGGCCAATGACATGCTCTCTGACAGGACGGTTTCCTCGAGGGGTTTTTTTGTATACAGTAAATCTCAATTGACCTACTGAAACTCATCGCATTTGGGTTGAAAGATCAAGCCGTCAAGACGATGAACGGTCTCGATTCCGAGGCATCAAAGCGAATTGCCGTCACCATTGGGCAAACGACGCCAAACTCTCCACATACAGCAGCTCAAGCACCAGATGACATGCCAAAGTCTCCGGTGAGGAGCTCTAGAGCTCAGCTCTAGCTTTACCGAGGTGCAGGTGCTACCAATACCATGCTCGCCCAGTCACACAACTTCGAGGCACGGCCAGGCTACAGCTTCACATTTTACTCGCCCGCGACACAGCCCAGCGGCTATCACACGATTATTGGCTTGGAAGAGCTCCAGGAAGGATTTTCATGGCTCAGCCCCCTGGCTGAGTAGACTCCGCCCCTCAGAGCCTGGTTGCTTCCACGGCGAATGAAGAGCAGCACAGGACGCTCAGCCACCTGCTTTTGTGGAGGTGCTGCGGGGAGCTATTGTGAAGATATAACAAGCTCCATCTCGTCTCTGTATGTTCTGAACGGATGGGCCCCTGATTAACCTGCCAGGAGCTCTCTACGTTCAAAGTGTTGAATACGCATCGATACGGCCGACCTTCATCGCAGCTGACTCGAATGACCTGACGCACATTGCGCCATCTCCCCCTCACGATGTCGCTGCCAGGGATGGCCGCCTCGCCAAGCTCTACCCTTCCTCAAAGACAACGCGGAAGCCATCGCCAACGCAATAACCGTTCACTATGACTCCCACCCGAATCCCTCTGGGTCGGCACGCACCTGATTCAGCTCTCCATGATTCCCGAAAGCGGACACATGCTCGCCAGACGGTGTCCCAAGGGATAGGGCCGTTGCCTTGCTCGCCGGGCCCAATCGGATTCTATGGGTCGGCCTGGTGAGGCGACTGCATCTCTAGCTGGAGCAATGAGAGGCCGTCGCGAGGTTGAGGTCTACGTAAGTGTCCATGTGCTCCCTGGAACTATTCCGGGCTAATTGTCCTGCTCTAGTTCACTCCCTGGCGCTCCCTGATCAATTCCCTTAGTCCTGCGGTCATGCAGGTATTCGACAAGACATCCTCGCCGACTCGCTTGATCCGACGGTTCGCCAGCGCGGGGAGGCCCGATTGAGTCCCTCCGCGTCGCCGGAGACCTCAAGCAGTGACTTCGAGCAGGAAAATGGGCGCCGACTGAGCGGGGGAGGACGCGCATCTCTCGTCTCGGACGATCTCTTAGATGAGGCTCACGATCCTCTGAAAAGGGAGGCCCCCGCATGTTTTCCGAATGACTCCCACGATTCTATCACGGCCGTGTATCGCTTTCTTTCCACAAACTTTGCGATCGAACAACTACAAGCAAGATGGCAGTTTCATTCCTTTTTCACCCAGGACCCGAGTGTTCTGGGGAAGCAATCATCAATACGACAGAAGACGGTGGTCGATGGAGAATACAAACTCCCATTGACGAACCTCGTGCTCCCGCGAAGGGATGCTCGTGAGTCTTGTCCAACGGCCGATTAGGGACAGCTGCTAACAGATGCAGAATCGACATGATCGCATCCAAGATTGATACCTGTGCCAAGGCCACAGTCTTTGCAAACATGGCCTTCAATCTCCTCGTTTTCGACAGCGAACTGTCCCCTGATCGATCCAACTGGGCCTGCCCATTCGGGCACTGCAAGTTGAACTTCGCCGACCCAAAGGCCTTGATGCATCATATCCTCGATTGTCCTCATTTTTCGAGCGACCGTGTATTTTGCAACTGCTGCACAAAGGACGACCGCTTTGAGCAACACTGCCAACACGAACGTGCTGAAAATATCGCCTCCCATGGAACCGAGAAGAGCTCCTCAAAGAAGCGCAACCCAATTCGCAAGCTCAGCAACATTTTTTCTCGAAACCGTATAGAGTCAAGGGGCTCATCCCCGAGCTCCGAGTGCCCCGTTAGTCCAGTTTCGACACATCGCCGACCAAGCATTCTTTCGTTGATGACGCCAACGCCGAGCCCACCCAGTGCGTCTCGCAAGGGGTCCTCGCCGAGTCCTCAAGAACCAGACAGGGGGGCATCTATCCCAGCATCGCCCAGGTACCAAGAGGCCTTCAGTGAGCTTATTGGGTCTGAGCCTCTTATTATCCGCGGGATTCAAGAGCTCCATTCCCGTGAAGTCCCCAGTGAGCTTTCTAATGCCACAAGAGCTCAGGAGCTCCCGGGTCAAATGTTTAGCGACATAGACATGTGCGAGTCTCCTACTACGGAGGACTTACACATGGATTCCACGGCTTCTGACCAGGACCCGTTCCAGGCATATAATGCCTCCTTCGCACGCCAAATGGAGGCCTCCCACATCGAGCTCCCCCCCACCAATAGTCTCGACTCTGCATTTCAGCCTCAGCATCAGCTCCAGCCATGTTCGTTGATGCAACCACTGCAGCAACTGCAGCAGCAACTGCAGGAGGATCCTTGGCTCCATTCTGACTCGCAAGCCTCTGCTGCGACCGTCCAAGAGGGGATGTATTCGACTGGGTGTTCCATGAGCAGCCGCGATGGCTTCTCAATCCTTCCCGGGCAGTCTCGCCACCAACAGATGAATCCATCTCCCAGCTCAAATCACATCAGTGGTCAAACACGGAAGTATTCTGGGGATTCCGCATATTCCAGGACCTCAAGCGGCACCATGGCAATTGAACATACTCCGCAGAATGGCGCTGTGCATCAACCAACTTTCGATGCAGGACGACTGACTAGCTCACCATTCCCGACAGCCCAAATATCCGCAGCTGCTGGTCCGGTCACTGCCGAGCCTGCTGGGGATCAAGATCTCCGATGCCCATATTCAGACTGCGACTACCGTCCTAAGGGAAGCAGAAGAGAAAATTACCCTCACTATCGCAGGAAGCACATTGAAAATACGCACCTGCATCGCTACCGAGTTCGCTGTCCAGACTGTGGTAGTTTGTTAAGCCGCAGCGACAACCTCAGGGTGCACCAGGAGACGGCGGCGTGTCCCCGGACCCGGTCCTTTGGGGCGCCTTATCCGCCTCATCGCGCGGCCAGGCGATATGGGCCGGCACATAGAAGGGAATGGGGGGGCGGTTGGCAGGGAGAGTAAGGATTTGAGCGCCCAAGAGGCTGCGACGAGGCTTAGTATTAGTTAACTCGACCGTCTTTGACAGGGACCACAGGGACGACGGTGCGGGAGAGGCTGGAACTCGAAATTGTAATTCGTGGATAGAAGAGCTGCGGGATCAGACTATGAAGCAATGAAATAATGAGAATGTTTGTTTTTGCTAGTCAGAAGATTGTTCATTGTTGATCAATTCGTGTCATTGCTGCATGTGAAGGAATGACGTGCCATCTCTGCCTGAACTCTTGGCGTTGAGCGTTGATAGCCCCAGCTGAGGGGAGGATGTTGCTGCAAACTGAAGTCGGATGCGGGGAGTACAGGAAACCCCGAACAATGCGGCTCTTGCTACCCCAAGCTCCAGTCTTAACCGAGGTCTCCGTCTTACAGCTTGACCGGGCGAAAACAAGCTTGGTTAAAAATAGATTCATACGGACAAGGGGGGCGTGTGTGTCAAACTGTACGAAACGCCAAGAAATGTTGGTCAGGACTCGATCTCACTCGGTACTTGTGCCCTCTTTGTCTCTTTGTCCCTTGACACCTCACAAGGCTCTTATCTCGTGTCCCTTGTTAAGGCTGCACACACCCTGGACCCCGCCCGGATGGCCCTTGAAGACCGGTGGAGGATTTGCTGTGAAATAGGGCTGACAAGGTTTCTCCAACGCTTACTGCCTACGTACCCTACAGCTCTCACATGAGAGCTTCAAGGGAATGTTCAACTCAGGGAAACTGTGTCATTGTAGGGGGAAGGGGTTCCATCCGGAGCCTCAAAGGCCCCCATGTCAGGGTATCTTGCCTGAAGGCATGGGTTGGCCAATTTGAGAATAAATGAGGACGGTTTCTGAAAGAGAAATTAGTGGTTCATCAAGTTCAATCTCATCGTCAACTGTTTTATCTCTCTTCGTACAGATATCACAAAGTGCTGTCGAATCTCAGAGAACACAGCTGGCCGTCATTTTAACTCACTGTCAACATGACTCTCGTGTAGTAAGCTCACCCAATGCCGCACTAAATGAGACTCTCTAACAGTTACGGTAAGCGAGACAAGCTCTCCTCCTCCGACTTGTTCTCCACCTTCTACGACCAGAACACCCCTGACAAAAAAGAACACTGATGGCCTCCCTGTCACACTCAACATCCACAACTATCTTCGACACCAACAAAACTTTGAAGCAATCCCCCTGGGTATCCCAACAGTACCCAAGCACATGGCTGACTACTGTGAGGAGTGGCAGACCAAGTTTAATGCTGCCGGGGAAAAGGCGTGAACGATTTGGGCGCTGCATTTCGCATCTTGGGGCGGAGGAGAAACGGGGAGCATGGGGACGCATTGATTTGCACTTGGAAGATGACGGGGGAACAATTAATACTTAATGATCTGGCATAGAAAATGTACCGGGATGTCAACACTAAGAGCCAGATGTTAATATTAGTAGCTCAAGGGAGAAATTATCAGTCATATCTCATCAGCCTCGTTTAGGTTCATGACCTCCACCACCTTATGTGTTAGATACAGGCCCAGGAAGCAACCCTCGTTTCTCATTTTCCCATTACGTATTAGATTTATGTTCTTTTCTGCCGAAGAAGACTGACAGAGTTCTATGTATTCGTTTCCCAGGCGCTCTATCAATGTGCTCTCTAGCAGCGCGTCGCCAGTCCCAGAGCTTCTGTCTAGCCCTGTGCTTAGTGTTGTGCCACCTCGAAGACCGGTGGGTGACCGTTGGTGTAGCATCAGTAGCTAAGTGTCGACCAGCATCTGAAGGGTCTGTGGGTGCCGAGGGTTCTGGAACAACATCAACCCTTGACATATGGCTTGATGGTCTGTTCTTGCTCGTATTGGGCTCAGGTAGCTCAGCATTCATGTTTTGAGTCTGAGTCCCTGCATCGTTAGTCATGGGCTCGTTCAATGCATTGTCGTCGCTCAAATCGCCGAAAGCCTCCTGTGGGGTACCGTATCGGCTGGGTATGTCAAGAATGCCGGCAAACTGAGATCCGGACCCATCTAGTTGGTGCTCCATGCTCTCTGGTACTGGTTCAAGCCCGCTGGGTGGGGTTTCAGTGCCTCGAAGTCTGTGAGCATTTCTGTCGCTGATACTGAACGGCACTCTCGAATTTTGGGACCCAACATGCTCATCTTGAGGGCCATCCACGTGGTCGGGTTGTATCTCTTTGTCGGGTTCTTCTTCGATGGAATTTCTGGCCCTCTTTGATGGAGACATTCGAACTGTTGTCTTTTTCTTGCCGGGGCTTGAAGGCGGAGTTTGTGGCGCAGATACTTCTGTCACGTTCTGAGTGGTATCAATGTCTGCGGGTTTCTGTGATTTGACTTTTGATGAACCCTCGTCCTGCTAGTCTTGGAGTCAGTTTGGTAAATTATGAGCGTGGATGGGGAGTACGAACTTCTTGAGGTTTTTCTGGTTGATGCGGATATCTATCAGGATTGGGGCTGCCAGGACATCCCCTACTGTCAAAACCACTCTCTTTGCATTTTGACGTAAGCTTTTGGAATTCAATGTAGAGCAAATCTGTCTTCCATCGATCTTTGGAGCTCGGGACCAGCATCGTGAACTGGATCAAGTCCAAGAGTGCGTGAAGAAGGCCGGAGCAGTGAGGGTTCTTGTGCAGCTTGTAAATCCACTGCAATATCAAGTTAGTCCCGAGTCCAATGGCATGGCTTGTCAACGTTACCTTCACTACCGATTTCTTCAGTTTAGCATCTTTTGGCGTGCTTTCCTGACCATTTTCAAAGATGAAAAACGTATCTTCCTCAATGGTCCCCTTTGGCTCGTCGCGCAAACGTTCGTCGGCAAAGGTAAAAACTGCCTCATCGTGACCGAGGAGGAACCAAGATACAAACTCGAGGAACACGCATCCTAGAGACCAAACATCGTAGTTTTGAGAAATCGGTTGGTCTTCAATGTGCAAGTCTGGTGGCCGATAGGTGCCCGAAAACCCTTGTATCTGGCCTTGCTGGACCTTGGAACGAGAGTGGGCGCTGTTGAACTGGGTCAGGCCGAAGTCGGAGATGACAAGATGGTTTTGCTTGTTGTTGTAGTTTTCGAACCAAAGAATGTTCTCTGGCTTGATGTCACCGTGTCTGCCCCAATCTTTGGCACCGAGAAGTTTCTCCTTCACGTGATTTAAGTCGTCCAGAGTAACAGTTTTTAGCGATTTCCGGGTTGTAGTGATATGATGAACCCTCCTCAGGCCGCTGACAATACCACTGCATTGGGATATGAACCAACAAACTTGTTTTGCGTTCTCGGGGTTGCCCGTCCGTGTGCTCCAGAGTTGTTTCAAGTTCCCGTCGGCCCATGGAAACATAAAGAAGTAGTCTTTTCCGTGCTTGAACGTCAACTGCAGTGGTATCAAGTGCTCTGAGAGGGGGTCTTTGATCTTTGCGCCCAGTTTGTCAAAGAGGTCGACCTCCTGGAGATAATCATGCAAATTCGGAGTATGGAGCCTCTTGACGGCCAGACAAACGCGTTTTTGGTCCTGCCATCAAGTCAGCTATGGAATGAAGACGAGACTTGCAGTAAAGAGAACTAATAGTTGACGAAAGGTAAGGAGAGGATGAATAGTCACCTTTGAGTTCCCATGGCAGTTGTAATGAGAGGGGTGGATGGTAACTTTGCGAACACTTCCATAACCACCAGTTGATTGCAGGTCATAACGATCAAATGGTAGGGTTGAATCCTGATAAAGGTCGTAGAAGTAGATCTTGTCACCAGGGAACTGAAGAAATGGCACGTGTATGATTGACTGCCAGAGCGTGAACTCCTTCGCTATGCGGCAAGGCCATGTATCAAACTTCTTGAGAATAGGCTCGTCGCGTCGGCGAGTGTTCTGACCTGTGCGGCCCTTCTCCTGACGAGGTTCGTCTTGTGGGTGAGGCATGTACGACACGGTTACTCGTCGCTTTGACTTCATGTGGTTGAAGTGAAAAGGAAGTGCTGTGTCGTCTACTCCATGTTTGATGAACTTGGGCAATCTCTTGACTTGACCAATCAAGACCAAGATGGCAAGTATTCTTCGCCGACGCGGAGGCAAAGCAGGAGTCTCGTCTTGGGTGCCGAGGATCTCGCGTTCATACTCTGAGGCATTGTCGGTGTCGAAATGCTGAAGCAGGAGATTGTGGACCACAGAAGGTGACAGAATCTTGCAGAGCTGGTCAAGAGGAAGGTATTCTCTTGCGTCAAACGCTGACCGTACAAGAGAAGAGCAGATCCTGTTTTGGATGGAGTCGTCCTCAGAATCATCCGCAGTCTCCATGGTCACTCCGTTGTCATCTTCATCGTCATTGACAGGCTCGTCGACATCTTCATCGTCACCAACAGGCTCCGTCGTGGCCCCGTTGGCGTGGTTTGATGAGTCTAGAGGCTCCATATGACTGCTATCCAAACTGCTGATTTCAATGTCTGAAAATCCCTGGGAAGGGTGGTCGGATGTTGAATGGCCGGGGTTTTCTGGCTGTGACTGCTCCCAGGTCATGTGAACAGCGCTCCCTCTGTCAATGACTGGTTGAATGCTGTAGAAACTCAATTGGCTCAACTCGGATAAACCTGAGTCAGATGGTGGCGGTGCGTGGCCGGCCAAGAGAGAATCATTCTGGCGATGGGCCTTAGTGTCAGCGCTCTTATCTGGTTCGCTTGCAGGATTGATCTTGAGTTCGAATTGATTGTCTAGATGCGAGGGGCCGTGCAAGGAACGGCGTCTAGATTGAACCTCGCTAATCGTATCGTCGAACTGGGATGCGCTATTGTCGTTTTGAGGAGCGTTTCGAGACTCGGCCTCAACACGGCCCTTGTTCAACAAGGAGTTGGCAGACTCATCTTCCACCCCTTGCGCCATCACCGCTTGTTTCTACCTAATAAAAGGCGCCACGCGGGTGAGCTGACGCATGCAGCGGCGGCAGGCACCCGTATTCGGAGCCAAGGCGAAATGCCAGCAAACGCAACTGAACAACGGAATTGAGGGCGTTGAAAAGACACTTGGCGCAATAAGACACGATTTGACACGTAGAAATCAGACACCATGATAGAACAATGAAATTAACGGTCGACACTATGACTTGAACACCGCAGCCTTATACGTCTTTGGTTCTCGAGCGAGAGCCTCGTCGAGACAATTCAATCGATGGCGTTCTAACCATCCACCCAATGTCTCAGGCCGGCGACCATCGGTTAGATATTGGCCCCCAAGCCACAGCCATGGCGGTTCCATCAGCCGCTCTCATAGCCAATGACTCGTCGGCTATTGCGGCGTATGCAACTTGGCTGCTCCCAGCTGAGCTGGATCATCCGGCACCGGCTTCCAAATCAGTCGGGCGATGGTGTATTGCCCTGGCACGCCTGGCTGTGAGTGCGTACGCCACTTGGGCAGATTTCCGGCGTTAACTCAGACCGAGGCCTTCCGTGCGCCGTCTTGTTTTGGTATTTGTTTTTCTAGTTCCCTTCAGCCCCAAACCACACACACCAGGTTACCCAGGGTGGCAACGCATTCAGCTTAATAAACTGTTCAGTTTCCCTCTGCAGTCCGGTCTCCGTCACAAGTTACCATTCATCGCACAAACCAGAGCTCAACAAATACCAACTCCACCTTAACACGAAATCGGCATCAAGTGTCAAACAAGGATATACATCGCACGGACCAGATTCCATCCAAGCATTTCCAACGACTGTCGATTACCATGAGCCAGGATTCCAAGCCGATCACCTTTGAGATCCACTCCAAGCTCATCACCACACAACAGCTGGAACGACGGCTCCGGGGTTTGCTGCCCCTCGGTACATTCAGTGTCGAGATGAAGCACAACGTCTATCATATCAGCATCAACCCAGGAGCATGCTCGGGCTGAAGAGCCGGGAATGGTGACAGAGAGAGGCCTAGACTGTACCATGCCAACTTGAGATCCCGTTGTCGGGCAGCAGATTTTCAAATTCATCTTCAAGTACTCTCTCCAGCCAAGTTTTCAACTACCCTCTCGAGCCGAGTTATTCTTCCGAGCCAGTCAGCGCCATTTCCTCATCGCCCACTCAGTCGCCACAACATCCATTCAGCGTCGGTCATAGAGAGAAACAGCCTTCAATTCTCCCAGCAGTATGTTTGACGGATCTCCTTGGCTTGGATAGGAGTTTTATATGAGGGATTGGGAGAGTCCGGGTTAGGTCGAGATATTCCTTCATCTTTCGTCAATCTTTGAGCGAACCCCCACAACTGCACGACAACCAAATTGCTTCTTCTTGGATCCTTATCTACATACCTACATACATCCAATATTTGCATTCCTTTTGGAATTAGCCAAATCTGTTAGCATCCCGCTCAGCCGCAGCTGCAGCTCTTCACCGGGTTCAGCTTTGCGAAATAGAATTACAATCAATGCATGTCGCACTCCACGTTCTATTATCGCCCTGACCTCAACGTGATACGACCGGGCGCTAAGTGACCAGGCTCTGAAGCTGTTGGATGTGAGTGAAAGTTGCCTCTTTGGCCCCCGTTCCTCGCCAAGGCTTCAACTGACAGCCTGCTGATGCCGTCCCAAAATGCACGAATCACACTGAAACATAGCCGTTGTGGCTGTTGCCCAGGGGCACTTTCAGCTTGCTCATATGACCAGTTCCCCCTGAAGAATCACACCGTACTCCGCACATGCAGATGTTCTTGACGCAATGCATGCGTAGTTTCCTGAGGCAAGCTGCAATTGGAGAGAGTGTGTGAGTTCCCATCACCCTCGGTGCATGACTCCATCGAGGGTGGGTGAGACTCTGAGAGCCTGATTTTCAAGAGAGGGGCAGAAGCATTCTTAAAGAGACAAGGGTCGCAAGGCAGATTTGATCAAGACAAGACACCCAATCCATTTTTACCAGTCGCAAGGCACACTTTGACTCGTCCTTACAATTTGACTTGCCCTTCTGGTCCCTTACGGACTGGCCTGGCTATTTTTGTTGTTTTAACCAAGACCAAGATCCGGTAAGGCTCTTCGGTGTTACGTTACCCTACCTACGTCACAATCTCGAGTCAAGCGTTTGCTCGACAGCCACCAACACGGGTAGCCGCCGGGATCGTGCACACAATCGAACCAACCAGGTATGCTTCCTGTTAGACAGCTGAGGGGAATGGGCCCAGCATAGTTGTCTAACCCCTTCTGAATAGATATTGCGGTTTTCATACCATCTTTTGAGCAACCAAGAGCGCTTGGCACAACTACCATGATGGGTTCCTCTGAGAGTTGGCTATCGGGCGAACCCACCCGTCTCACCATAGAGCCCATGGACGTTGTGGATGATTCCATGGGCAATGCCATGGACATTACCATGCAGAATTCCGAGAATTACTCCAAGAATTATTCCATGGATGCTTCCATGGATGATGTCCCAGATGATGCTACGGATGATACCTCGGATGATACGGATGGAGACTTTGATCTCTGTGACGAGATCTTCCACGCGATGCAAGTGAACAACCAAGGCAAGCAGTTCATTCCAGCCGATAAAATAGCCCGCCTTGCCTCTCCTGATGCTATCGAGGGCGAACTCATGAAAGAGAACCTACATATTGAGTTGGCCAGCCTCGTCAACTACGTGCTCAACAAGCCGGCCATCAAGATATTCCTCATTCTGGTCTCGTGCGGAAAAGCTGTTGCTACGGCTAAGATATATGCTAGCGGCTTGAGCGATGAACACTTACCTCTGTGTGAACCAGACGGCTCAAAAAGTGGCAAGCGCCTGAAGTCACTCGGCCCAGCCCCTGATACTGGTTCAGTCCTGGACCCGCTTCGTTCATGGCGTCATGCTCAACGATGCGAATTTCTTGAGAAGCAATGGATTTTCATGGCTCCTGTATTTACTGGGGAAAATTTCGTATACAAGCTTCACAAGCGCTGTCCTCTGCCATTTGTACCGTTCAGCAGCAAAGACCAGCCACAGAGTGGACCTCATGGGGGGCTGTCTGGCTCGGTTCGAGAAATTAAAGTACACGAGGCACATCAGCAAGTTCTTCCCCAGGTATGTTGCAAGCTAGTATCCTTCTATGAGCATGCAATGTCATTAACAAAATTCAGAAGGATGGAAGGCCCATTCGCGTCGCCCTCAAGACCATCTGGCCCCAGATGGGTCACTACTTTCACCAAGAGGAAGACACGTTAAGCGTCATCCAGAAAATCGACCACCCCCACCTCATCAAGCCAATTGCCTCATACCAATATCACACTGAGGAGAATGGCTGCTTCTTGTTTCCATGGGCCGAACGTGGAAACCTGAAGGAGTTCTGGAAAACAGAAAAAACCATCCCCCTGAAGAATCGTGAGATGATGGGCTGGATGCTTAAACAGATGTGTGGTCTCTGTGATGCCCTTAGCATTTTGCATGCCAAGAATCGCCGCCATGGGGACATAAAACCCGAAAACATACTTCTCTTTGAAGAGGGTGACTACAACGGCACCCTGCGCATTGCTGATGTGGGATTGGCAAAGTTTCATGCCGAAGCAACAGAGAGGCGTATTCTTCTCGAAGAGAGAACCAAGACCATGACGGGAACCACACGATACCTTTCCCCCGAGTTCGTCCACGAGCCACAGATCCCGCGAGTCTTTGACGTCTGGTCTTTAGGCTGTGTTTTTATCGAATTTCTCATCTGGACGCTCCATGGATACGATCAACTGTTTAACTTCCGAAAAGCCAGCTGTGCACACTTCTGGAATGAGGTAAACGATGAGTTCGTCATTCACACCGAGGTGCAGGCGTGGCTTTCCAACCTATCAAAAATCCTCGAAGGCTCTAACACAGCCTTGCAGGACCTGCTCGAGGTAGTGAAGTCGCACATGCTAGTTCCTAACTGGAAGATACGCAGTGCGAGCAGCAAGGTGCGTGAGAAGCTAACTGAGATCTGCCACAAAGCAACAAATGACCAGGGGTATCTCATCAACCCTATTATCGAGGCACGAGCCAGAACAAACCCTCCGCGATCGAAAGAGTCTCCCCAGAGCCTTGCTCCCGGCGAGAAGCCCAGAAGTAGATTAGCCCCTCAGAAGCAGGGCTCGTTTGACGTCCATGTCGTGGGACCGGACGACGAGGTTAATAATAGCCACCTAATGGTTAACACAACAACCAGTCAGCAAGTAAGTCCGGCCTTGCTTCCCACTTTGAGGTGTCTACTAATAAGTGTTCTTAGTATGTAGGTTGACATACTGGATCGCTCATCCGTGAGGACTCATGTACTAACATTAGCGACAGAATGTGAGATGAGGAGGCAACTTACTTGAACTGACTTGTCGCTAACCAGTCACCTTCCAGATGGTCAGCAACAGTATACATGCCCGAGAACTTGTAGTTGCTGACCGTTGATCAGGAGGTAGGTTCCTGTTTCACCGCAACGCTACACTCAATACTAAGAAACTCAGCAAGTACACAGGCTCAACAAAGACACCTGGCGGTCAAAAGCCGATAATGAATTTGCACAAGGCTTGTTCTCCAATTCTGACTGGTCCCATCGGCATCCTACTCAAGCTCCTTCAAAGCTCTGCCGCAAGTGCACGTCATTGGACGTTTGGCAGCCAGGCTTCGAGTTTGGTAGCTTGGTTGGTGATATCAAGGCGAGATCCAAGGAATGTGATCTTTGCGATCTCTTTTCCCAAGTTGCTGAAAAGCTAAAATTGGAGGACAACGTGAGGCTCTTGAGTCGGCGTTTCGACTCTGTCATGCGGATCATGCCAGATGGCCCAACGATTTTGTCACTCTATTCAGACCCTGGTATTTGAACAAGCACCTTCCCGAGACTTCATCAAACCCGCTAACTAGAGCCGGTGCAGAGCAAGCTCCGGCCAGCCCAGATGCCCAGGTTGGATACCCTCACCTGCCCAAACCTGGAAGCCCCTCCCAGTTTGCCTTTATCCGGGAATGGCTACGGGTTTGTCGAGAGACACATCACCATGGACACCTACGCGACGCGAGCCTCAACCCGGCAGAGCTTCCAACCCGTGTCATTGACCTCGGGGTCTTAGACAAGCCTAAGCTTCAGCTGATATCCGGTGAGGTCATGCAGTCACACGAGTATTTCGCCTTGAGCCATTGCTGGGGCAAGGGCGCTATGATGTTCCGGGCCCTCAAGGAGAACATCGAGACTCTCACTAAGGCAATTGACTTCCGTCGCCTCCCTCGTACATTCCAAGAGGCTATCAGGACCGCACGTGGCTTGAACGTAAGGTACTTATGGATTGATTCCTTGTGTATTATCCAAGATGATGATGAAGACTGGAAGCGTGAAGCCGCTCGAATGCAGCAGGTCTTCAGCAATGCCACTTGCGTCATTGCGGCCAGCTCTGCCGGCTCATCAGCTGAAGGTTTCTTGGAGACGAGACGAGACGACCGATCTTTTGTCATGCTGCGTTCCCCTTCTGGAGTTATCAGCTATGTCTGTAAGTTTATCGACAACTTTGCCCAAGATATGGAAGAGGCGCCCCTGAATAAGCGTGGATGGGTGCTGCAGGAGAGAGCACTGGCACGCCGATCCATCCACTTTACCGCGACTCAGGTTTACCTAGAATGTGGCAATGGTGTACATTGCGAGAGCTTGATGAAGTTGACCAAGTACGTCCATCCACATCGCTATGCTCTGCATCTAGCTAACCGGCCCCAGTGACCAAGCAGCTTTCTTGGGCGATTCTGACTTTCCCAACTCTGTCCTTGAGTACTACAAGGGTGGCAGGATTGTTCTTTCACAGAACCTGTTCAAAATGTACTCGACACTCAAGTTTACCAAATCATCAGATCGACCGATTGCCATATCTGGTCTGGAGAAGAGACTGATGTCAGCCTTCGAGACAAGGGGAGGGTATGGTGTCTTCCAGGCCTTCTTCGAGCGCAGTCTCCTGTGGCAGCGACCAGAGGCGAGCTCCTTGGCTCGCATTACCTACCCAGCGGATCGAAATGTGCCATCTTGGTCTTGGATGTCCTACGATGGTAGCATCACTTATGTCGATGCGCCGTTCGAGAAAGTCGACTGGACCAAAGACTACGAGTCTCCGTTTCAAGCCAAGACCGGGAGGCAATACTGGGGGACCAACGAGAACAATTCATCCCCTATTATCAGGTCAAAGTCGGCAAGAAGGTTCTCCTCGTCAGCCGACCCGGAGAGGGTCTTGGAGGGAATCAGGTTTGATCTGGGGGCTTCTACATACTACCAGCTCGGGGCTCTTCGATGCATTGTCATTGGAAAGGCCAAGTCATCCGGTTCCGATGACTCTGCCCTGCACTATGTCTTGGTCATCACTGCTTCGTCCTTGGGAAAACCTGAGGCGTACGTGCGGGTTGGGGTTGGGATTTTGTTGAAGAGTCTTATCTCTTGGGACTCAAAGGAATATGTCGAGGTGCATTAGAGCTACTTGACTTTCTTTGTAGGGGTGGCTCTCTGGACTGATTTGATGCACCTGCTTTCGTTTGGAGATACTGCAGTGCTTTTTAAGAGTTCTGTTTTCTGTAGTCCACGCACTTATTTGCCTTAATGCGACATCCTAGGATCCCTATCAAATAGTCAATTGTGTTATCTTGGAGTGCTAAAGCGTCGATGAAATCTAAGACCGAATGCTGGAGGCTCAAAGCGGACGCATGCTGCGTAGGAAGGGAGTCCATGTGCGATTTCAACCCTGTTTATCTTACTCACTTGGGCAGAGTCGCTTCCATTGGTGCCCGCCTCATGAGCCGTCCTTGAGATGCTTCGAGGATGGATTGTTGAATTCAGACGATACCTGTAGTAGTAACTTCCCAACAACTAGAACATGTCGTTCTGAAACCTTGGTATTCTCGTATTCTAGATGCAAGCGCATCAACTTATTCATCTTGATATCATTTGTCTGCACCAGATTGATGACGGATGCAAGTATGCTAGGATTCCATGTCAGCTGCGCCACTGGGTGGCTTTCAAAGCACCAATCAGGCATCATTATGCGACCTGACGTCTGCCTTGACCATATGCTGACATGGGCCAGGCACATAAGCAGCCAACTCCCATATCAGACAATCACCGCATCAAGAGCTAACTTCATTCTGTAACCAGGTCGCAGTTGCGAATTTCAATATGGCCTCCCCCATATCTGACCTCTCGGGTTCCTCAGACCATGACAAGAAGCAGGTCCCAAGTCCGGACAGCTTTGAGCCACGTGAAAACTCTCCCGACATCACTCACGTGAAGGACAAGTTTCCAAAGGTTAAGGATGAAGTTTGGTTAGCACAGCGTCTAGGAAACGCCATTACCAAACGACGCATGATCATCCGGTATAGACAGGCCAAAAATGCTCAACCTGCAACAGCCAAGGATCTTGTCTCTGACGACATGACCGAGCAAGCGTCAACCTCTTCGCCCGCGACTTCTTTCATCAGTTCGTCTGACGAAGCTACGAGCCAGGACATTCCGGACCTGGACCACTTGACGTTCAACGGAAAGAAGCTGGAATTTGGAGAACCCATCGAGTGCCCATACTGCAGAACAACCCAGGTTCTGAGTACCCAAGCGGAATGGAGGCAAGCGTTTGACCAGAGACAAACCATTGCCGTTAAAACTAACAACTGAGCAGAAAGCACGTCTTAGCTGACCTTCAGGCGTATGTGTGCACCTTCAAAGACTGCACTTCTGGTCTCTTTACGACTCAAAAGGAATGGCTCACTCACGAAATGACTGAACACGTGCAGCAATGGATCTGCAGTCGTTGCCACGACGCTGAGAAGCCAACATTTGAAACTATGTCCAAAATTAAAGAGCACATCGAGGCCACGCACACGGCTGAGGAGAATCCTACCGAAATCTTGAAAGCGAGCCAAGTACCTCTCAAGCCTTTGGGAACCTCTTCATGCCTTCTATGTGATGAATGGGAACCACCTACTAAGGAGTCTCAAAACGTCAAGGAATTCTATCAACACCTGGGAAAGCACCAGAAAGTTCTCGCTCTTGAAGCCCTGCCAATGTCGTTGGACGGGCTGAGCTGCGATGATGGGCGCCTACTTCATTGTTCCCCCTGTGGCCATGTTTGGACCCCAAGCGAGAGAGGAGAATCCTGTCCGGCGTGCCATGATGGCAAAGGAAAAGTGAGATCAGTCCTGGTCAGCCCATGTATAACCATGCTAACTTGACACAGCGTCTCCCCCGGCAAGTAAAGATGTCAACACCCTTCCCTCCACGCTGGGAAGTCAAGATAGCCCCGGGCCGTAACAGGGTATACTTTGTCGACCACAATGAGGGTCAAACAACCTGGATCGACCCTCGCAGCACGGAAGCCAGGCTTGTCTCCAACACACTCAAGATTGGGCCACTTCCCGCAGGCTGGGAGCTCAGGTTGGAGGAGAAATCAGGCCGTATCTATTTCGTGGACCACAATTCAAGCACGACGACCTGGGATGACCCGCGCGAAAAGGCGGATGATGAGAAATCGAAGCCGCTGCCTGAGGAGCGGAAGAGAAGGGCTCTTAGCAGTCGCCTGTAATTGTTGGTCACGGTTCAAGGCTCTTAAGAGTGCAGCTCAAGAGACGAAATGACTGCGCTGGAATGGGCGACGAATTAGGGATGGGTGCAGGAAAGAGAGAGACATGCACATATAACTTCGTACTCAAAGGTTGTGATGGACCCAATTCTAAGTCATGTTGATACCTATCGTCAGTATGCGTTCGCATTACTCTCTGCGATTAACGATGATTGAACCTATGGGGTCTCATTAAGCATTTGCGAAATGGTCGGGATGTCACCCTCTCAAGCGATTATCGCGCACCAAATGCGACGGAACAGGGATGACCCGTCCAAAGCCCTGCTGACAATATTCAATAATGGCGCGTGATATTGGTTCCCTAGAGAAGAAGGCTGTTGAGTCGACGTTAAACGAGTGACATGCTTGTCAGGCACCGAGAGCAAATAGAAAGGATCCGCCAAGGCTAAATTCCAACTTTGATAACCTTAGCGAAGTGCTTGGCGATGCCTAGAAGCCGCACCAGTGACAACCTCCCGGGATGATGCTTGGTCGGTGCCTGTCAAGCCCTGGCGGCGCCCTCGGGCGTTAAGCACGGCACTTGGGAGCACATAAGCGGAGATGGCGCTCGTTTATTTAATTTTCTGAAACTCAGCTCGCGTATCTGCCTTGCCGTTAGTGGAGGAATGGATCCTTTGTGCCTCGCGTGGCTTGTCCTTGCATGGGAGAGTGGACTAGTTTCTTCAGTCTAGACTCATTCCAGCGTCCTTCGAGTTCAGCCGTAACCAGAAATAAATGACATGTGCCTCATCCCGCCGAGTTACCCGGTCTCGACCGCTGATAAAGACAAGTTATGTAAAGGTAATGCTGTCCCCGCGTTTTCGCTCGGTCTTGTCTGGTTGACATCTATCATCATCGTTGTTAGTGCTGCTCTACCAGCACAACTCGCCAAGATGCCCTTCGATTTCAAGGCCTACGATGAGAAGTGCAGGGGACTCAATCTCGAGGAGCTCCAGCGGGAGTGGGAGCATTACACCCGCCTCATCTCCGGTGCCGCAACCTCTACGGCCGTCTCAGGCATGGCCATCCCCCTCACTCTCGGAGTGTCGACCATCGGCGTGGCCATGGCCGCACCCGCTATTCACAACGCCCGCAAGAAGCGCGAGATCATCGAGCGACACCTCAATAGACTCCAGGCGACGCATCACACACGAAAGCGAGATGTCTTAGGGAGCATGGCTGTTAGCGGCACTATCGGCGTTGTCACACTGGGAGTTGGCTCTATGGGCGCCGACGCTGTCGCTACTGCTGGAGCAGAGCATGGGATTCAGTCAATCGTTGCCAACGAAACCGCCATCAAGATTGCGACGCATGCTGCCCTCGATGGAGCGGGAATGGCCATTGAACACAAGCACACGGATCGTCTCAAGAAGAAGGATGCCCTCAAGGCATTCAAGAAGGCCGGTGTCTTCAAGGCCGTCCAAGATGCCAAGGCCGCCGAAGCTGGATATTCGATCCAGCCCTACAACCAGCAGGGGTACCCTTATGCCGCCGCTGGTAGCTCCTCTCAAGCACCTCTCATTCCTCCTCCCCCGCCATACACTCCAGCCGATGGGCAGACGCCGGCTCCTCCCTCTTATGCATTGAATGCGAACGGTTATCCTCAGGACTTCAAGGCGCCTATGGCTTATACACCGGCCCCTCAGGGTCAACAGTATATGATCCCGGACGCCACTGGCCAGCAGCCTGCATCGCAATATTATGGCTATCCTCCACAGCCGGGTGTCCCTCAGCAGCAAGGTGTTCCTCAACAGCAGGCTTCTTATCAGCAGCAACCAAGCCAACAGCCCTACCAGCAACCAATCTCCTACCAGCAGCAAATTCCTGGTCAACAGGCGCCGCAGCAACGAGTCTTTTCTCCCCAGCAAGTCCCCGTCCAGCATCAAACCATCCCTCAACAGCAGGTTCAACAGGTTGCCTCTCTACAACAGGCTCTCCCTCAGCAACAAGTTCCACCACCTGGTCATTATTCTACACCTTCATTCAGCTCTCAAGTCCTCTCGCCGCCTCAGACCCCAGCCGTGGGATATCCTCCCCAGGTCGTGCAGGCGCAACAAAATATCCAGTCCCCGGCCATCTCTCAGCCACAGCCTCATGAGCAACCAGGTTACTTTACGCAGACGACGGCGAACCCACCAAACAACCCTGCCCCCTCAACTCAAATGTACGACATGTCGGGCATCAAGGGCGCTCTTCCGGCTCAAACGCCTGCACCAACGGGTTCATCATATCAGCCACCACCACCCCAGCAGTACTCTGTTGCTCCTTTGCCAACGCCCGCTCAGGAACAGCCCCAGAATTACACATATCTCCCAGCGCAAACGCCTCAGCCAGCTGTAGCGGGATACCCTCCTCCCATCTCTCTCCCCCCTCAGCCAACTCCTCAGCCGGCAACTGCTCAAGCAGCTTCAGTCTCGGTTCATCCGCCACCAACACCACAGCCCGTGTCTACAGTCCAGGTGCCACCAGTCTCGGTGCCTCCTCAGGCGACACCACAAGCGGTGCCTACACTTCAAACACCGTCAGTCGAGTACCAGCAACCAGCTGCCCCTGCTCCCCAAGCCCAGTACTATCCACAAGCCACGTACCAACACACCGGAACATATCAACAAGCCCAGGTCCCACCACCTCCTCCCCAGGAGGACCCCAACAGGAGGGCTTCGATGATCAGCACGCCACAGCATCCTCTCGCTCCACACCCTACCTACAATCCTCAACACTACCAACCAGCATCTCATCAGCAAGCGTATACCCATTCTGCGTATCCAACTGCCCATACACCTGCACCGCCCCAGCAAACACCAGCACCATATCAAGCAGCGCAATATCAGGCTCCTCCTCCTGTAGCAAGCAACACTGCCCCTCAGTATCAACCCAATGCGCACTACTCTGTTCCTGGTCAACCTCAAGAGCAGTATAAGCCAGCTACTCAATGGCAGAACGGACAGCCTACCCATCAACCTCAACACAGCCAACAGTATTACTACCCTCCAACTCCAGTCTCGTTGCCTAATTCTCCACCAGTAGCGCAGTAAGCTGGTGCCCTGATTTTGAATGAACTGGCATTACCAACAAGTTGGAAGCTGGCACGAAGTTAATGAAGGAACGTACATGTTATTCAGTTACCCATCTCAGTCTACCTAATTGCACATCGCTCTGCTAGTCCTGTGTTAATTGTATTTCCATTACACCCTGCCTCCACATGCTTCTGTCTCGGCACATTCTTCCGTTGATCAGGCACAGTCTTCTGAGTGGCCAATCCTCGAAGAAAGGGAACAAAAGCAAACTCTCGACCTGTTGGCGCTGGCGCGGCCCGCTCTGAATTGGCCAACCAATGATGTCTGTAGTCAAGACGGACGGCCCTGAAAGCCAACAAGGATGGTGTTGTTGACTAGCGTAATAGGCCCACAGAAAGGATTCAAGTGCCTGAAGCATTGTTACTGAGCTGAGAGCATGGGTGATTCTCTCTATCACCGCTGTAAAGAGTCGTTCAGCATCAGCAAGCTCTCACTATCGTTGGAGACAAGCATGCCAAGATACGGAAACCAAGATGTTACTCGCCATCCACGATATCAAGTCTGGAAAGGCGTCGCCATCCGTCCTCCATGTCAAGAGCAACTACGCTATCTAGCGCCACAAATCAATAGTCCCAGCGAGCCAGGCTTCTTTGGACGCTTCTACGAAGTAAACGGGCACCTCATTTCACCCGCGTGAGATCGATTGGCAAAGTCACCTCCCGATGGTGGCTGTCTTTTTTAAACAGGTTGCATCCCAAACTTTCTCTCCTGGATTTCGGTCTTCAGCGATTGTCACTCTTTACCAGTCACTCGTTTCCAGTCGTTCGTTATTACATCATCGCCAAGATGAGAACCGTTATTCCCCTTCTTCAGCTTTTGGCTCTTGGTCATCAGGCCGCCGCGTCAGTGTGCAGGCCGCGAGTGACATCGTCTTCTCTCTCTATTGAGTCCGTCACCACTTCTGCTTCGACTGCCGCTTCCAGCACTGTCGAGTCCACCACCTGGAGCGGCACCGAGACAGCGTCTTCAAGTACCGAGACTGTTTCCCTGAGCACTACCGAGACCGCCTCCTCATCTACCGAGTCGGCTTCTTTGAGCACCACTGAAAGTGCCACCATCAGCACCACTGAGACAGCGTCATTGAGCACCACCGACTCCTCCACCGTCGTCTCGACCACCAGCAGCGCGTCCGAGAGCATCTCGACCGACTCCTCCACCATCACCTCCAGCACGCTATTCACCACGACAACCTCGACCGCCGAGGCTTCGTCCACCACATCGTCCGTCCCCGAAGGTCCACCGGAGCTCCTCGTCAATAGAGGCTTCGAGGACAAGGACTCCCTAAGCCCCTGGCAGCAGTACCAGACTTCGGGAACCGTCGCCATCGCCACTGATGAGTCCCATTCAGGCGGCCAGTCTGCCCACATAACTTGGTCATCCCCCCTCACCCCCCGAGGCCAGTACGACTACAACACCGGCGTGATCCAACACGTGCCGGCCTCCAATGTTGCAGTCGACACGCAGTACGAATTCTCCGTCTGGGTCAAATTGGACCCCAGCATGAGATGCCAAAGCTTCTACATCGCTTGCTCCATCGGGGATGGCTTCGTCCCTGGTTCCTTCAAGAACACAGCCGTTCCTGGTGTTGGTGGTTGGTTACAGCTCACGACGACCTGCCAGTACACCCAGACCTGGCTGAACGCGGGACCAGGAGTGGCAGTCATTGGTCAGTGCACTGAGGCCGATTACTATGTCGACGACGCTAGTTTCAAGCTGGTTGTTTAGGGGGTTATCTAACATTCTGTCCGGTTGGAGTCTTGGGAGTGAGGGTGTTTTCAGGGAAGGGGGTTTCTCGATGCACAAACTTGTACATACATCTTCTTCAAGTACACGCACACGCATTGGACATATACATCTCTTTGAGGCATCACAGATTACGACTATCCTACCCATGACCTACCAAGCATTTGTCCAATCACCGAAGCAGGCTCCGTCTCCCGTGTGTGCAGAGCTAGCCTCAGCCCAATGCCAATCACAAGGCTCAAATTGGGAAAGCTGAGCCTCTGTTTTGTTCCAGTACTAAATCCCAAATCTGTGGCGCAGTCTCTTCCCCCTGCCATACTCCAAGCCATTACTTGACTACTCGTTTAGATGTCGACTCGAGTTCTGAACTACAAGCTCTCATCACATGCTTTTCAGGGGATTTACAACCAGCCATTGTTTCAGGAAGCATTAGCAGTGGTCTTCCAACTCACAAATAATGGTACACGTGGTTCCAATGTTTCATACTCCCCCCTTCAGCATCCCCGCTACGCCATTCCTTCAGTCTGGGCATGAATCCTCGGGCACCTCGCTTACCACCCCAAGGCACACATCTCTCTCTGATTGTAAATTCAATATGTGTTGTGCGCAGATCATTGAGCCTAGCATCGGCATACCCGCATTAGCTCACCTGTCAGCCCGTGTGATGTTGGCGGTCAAGACAGTCTATGACCAGGCTCTCTCGGCCTTATTAACACATCCCTGGTTTAGGCAGCAGAATTTCGACAGCCATAATAGGAAAGCAGGTCTTTTGTTTCTCTGAGTTGTTTCTGCTCTGATCAGACTGCGCATATCTTTCAATTCCTTACTTGACACTTTTCAAAAGACGCGCAAGCTCGCCAACCTCTACGGATATCAAACCCCAACCCGTCAAAGGCATGCCATTGTGTATACCGCAGGTGAGACACTGCAGCCCTCAATGCAACATTGACAGCATCATCAAAGCACAGACCGGGTGATCAAATACATCACTTGTCAAGAATGGCTCATCCTGGCAGGACACACGCTCCATGCCTCAAAGTACCAGTTGAATGTCTCGTGGCATTAACTCTATGTACGTCTTATCATATACATTAAACCTCGTGTCTCTCTCCACATTTCCCAGCGACTCTGTATCATCGCGAGTCAAAATAGGGTTCCCCCCTCATCAATCTTTGTGCCAACACCAAACCTCAAGTCTCTAACCGCGCCGCGTATTCGATAGACATAACCACGCCGGCCAGTGCCCCCTCTTTGTCGACGCCCGTCTAAAGCTCTTTGCACTCATTGTACTCGAGCCAGAATCCCCAGTCTTCAGCTTAGAGATCTTCCTCTGATCATACCCCTTTCTCAAAAGGGCCTTTTGCACGTCATTCTGACCATACCTATCCTTGCCTATTGTATGCGCGCCCCTGCAAACCAGAACTCTAATAATTCGATGTAGTTCCGCCTCGCTCTGTCCTTGCCGGAGTGCAAGCATCAGCGGTGTCCTATCTCCTGAGCAAAGGGCGTTCACGTTAGCTCCTTTCTCAACCAGGATCTTGACAAGCCCGGCTTGAAGCTGATAGCAAAACAGGTGCAAAGCCGTCTGTCCGTAGCCATCCTTTGTGTCGATATCAATATTTTCCAACTCAGGACGGCTCGGCAGACTCCTGACAGTCTCTACCGCTTGGAGCACTATCCGAAGTGTCTCCTTGTCTCGACACCTATGAATTGGTGTCTGTCTGTTTGCGTCTCTAACGAGGACCAGGTACGGCCTTGTTAGAAGCTTCTTCAAGACCTCGATGTTTGAGTTGCTAACAGCGACAAGAAGAGGTGTGTCTCCATTCCTATCCTCCATCTCATAGAACTCTTCTAAGGTCATGAGCTCCTCCAGGACTGAGATATTCATTCCCCGATCTCGGGCAGCCACATGCAGCGGTGTATCTCCGTCCTTGTTTGTGGTTTGGGTGAAGGTGAGCTCATCCTCACCAGTCACAATGAATCCCTCAGAAGTGCACCAAGCAACAGCTCGAGCAAGGCCATCCCGTCTCGGTACAAAGTCGTCTCCGAGCTCATCACGCATCTCGGCTCGAAACGCGTCCACGTCAATGTGTCTCCTGCTTCTCTGGTATTGACCTACAGTCAGGTTGTAGGTCTCGCAAATCTCCCGATGATAGTCGTCCTTCCCCAGCCGTACGTAATCATCGATAGCGTGTCGAAAGAAATCGATGGCTTTGTTAGTTTCGTTGAGATCGGCAAACATCTCGGCGATTCGGCGCTGCTCGTCACACAGCTTGGGGGTCGTGTGAGGGCGTGACTCGGCTAGCACCGTGGAACCGAGCATATCAAGCCTCTCGACGGCACTTGATACGGCGGTTTGATCATGCTTCTGGCATGAAATAGCGATGTCGACGTACTTCTCCGCCAGATTGACCCGCTCTGCCATGTCCAACGTATAGTCAGGCTGTTGTTCCCTCAACTCCTTTCCGAGCTCGATCGCTTGCCGTTGGAACGGCAGGGCAAGAATGGGCATGTCGGCCTCGAAGAAGCGAGTAGCCCAGTTCTGTGCTGCCTCAAACTTGTACTGGAGCTCTCTGACGCTACCCTTTCTGCGTCCTGATGAAGGCAGCAGGAGGTTGTCAGTTTGTGCGTTCGATGGGTCCGGGTTCTCGCGGAAGCGCTGCGTCGCCGTGTCCGTCAGCAAGGCCTGAGTGGTCTGCCTCCATATCTGCAGCTTCTGATCGTCGGTCGATAATCGTGGAAATACCGTCCCGAGCTCGTTGAGGACCTCTCTGACTCTCTCGACGGGGCCTGAGTCTAATCTATCTCGAGATGTCAGAAGAAATCAAGGACAAGGGCAAGTGTTTACTTACTGACTCAGGACCGAAGCACTAATCTGAAAGATCTGGATACTTCGGTCGACTCGCTTGATTAGGTGGTCATCCTGATCCAGCTTCGATCGAAACGCCATCATTACTTTATCCCTAAAACTTGGGTTTCCTCCATAGAAGGCATCTGCATCTGGTATCCCTAGACCAGAGAGGTCCTCCTGGAAGTGCTCGAGGTGTGCGCCAATGGATGCAAGATACTTCTCTTGTGTAGGTGTCAAATCGGTTGCTCGCCATCTCTCCAACCTCTCCTTCATGAGCGAGCATGAATTCTTCAACACATCGCTCACCACGGCCCAGTGCTGGGCGTCAGCTGGGGAGTTGCTGACGGCCTTGATCAGGGCGTCAAAGACACTCCAAGTCTTGAGGCCCGTCACGATGAGGGCAATAACCGCTGAAGCTGGTTCAGCCATGCTTGAGTGAGGGTCTCACGCCCCCTCAGGCTTTGCTCTTGTCCTTCTCGCGGTCTGTATGGCTTCGAAGGATGATGCTAAACGCAAGTCCAGGCGGAACAAATGCGGAGTCTACAGATCTCCCCCACCCCCGGATTTGCGTAGTGACATATACCAAGTAAGCATATTGCACTGCCTCATAAGCCCTGCAAGGCGAAGGACCACTGCCTTGTACTGAGCGAGCCAACCGTTTGCCGTTGGGACCGACAAGTGACGTTCTTGGCAGTCAAGGATCCCTGTAGAGCTGGAAAGTCCTTCATCCCCCCCCCCTTGCCGCCCGTGGCTGAGTCGATCCAACACGCCTTGCTTTCAAATCGTCTCCCGTGTTGGTTGTCTCTCGATATTTTGCTCAAATTGTGGCTTAGCCGTTTTCCATGACCTAAAATGAAACCACTGATCTGCAGCCAATATGACCTTTAATTGAAAATCATCTGGATTTTTGTCGAATCAGGGGCCTTGGACTCACAGCCTGCAGGATACATACACAAACTACACCACAACCGGGCGAGAATGCCTTGCAGTGACTGTTCGTGTTCGCGCGTTGTGTTACATGCATGCTGACTCGATGCCACATATGTGGTTGCCTGTTCTCCCGCTGCAGGCTGATTTCATTTGTGATGGAATCATGAGGTTTGGGAGTTACTTGTTATTTGTCTGCCTTGGAACGGGGTTGTACAAGATCAGCAAAGGCATATTTCTCCAACTTTTACTCCGATCTTTTTGAGGCCTAAATATTCACTCTCTAAGCCAGTTGAACTTCGGCAGCTTGGATCAACAGCCTCAAACTCATCATGGCTCGCCAACCAGCCGAAGCCGACGGTCGCTCTCAGCCTCGAGGCCTGATCGATGGATGGATCGGAGAGCAGATCGAAGATAGAGAGGAGCTGGGAAACCCACTCAGTATGCCAAAGTTCTCATCCTCAAATAGTTTTCTTTGTACTGACCCTTTTCAAAGCCAATGTCGAGGACAGCACTCTTCGAGAAGCCTGTAGACAACTGTCTCAACAGTCCAAGGTCGACTACAAACAACTCGTTAATGCTGCGGAAGTCGCCAAACGCCGATATGACTATTACTGCTTCTCAAAGGATACCATTGCCGGCACCAATCCTCCAGACGGTCCTGCCCAGGCTCTCAAGGTGACCCTCAGCCTCGACGATAAAAAGGCTCTCATTGCAGAGCGAGAACGGCTATTCTCCGGCAGGGGGATGCTCATCATCATCTGTACCGTCTCTCTTGCCGCATTCCTCCAAGGTCATGTCCAGTCGTCTATCAACGCGGGGAGTCTGTTTGCCGAGACAGTTGGCATCACTGAGCCCCGTCTAATCAACCTCACTGCATCCATGTCCAACTACACCTTGGACTTTATTCAAGATTCCATCAACGATATCAACAACGGTATACAACAGGACACATACCTGGACAAATTCATCCCCCAGAATGGCACATACAATGAGATCGACCCAACTGAACCCAACTCACCGGGCCTCAATATGACTGGGCTTGGGGTCACCAGCAATGCAAAGTGGCAGCTGGGCGGCATGAATGCCATTCCCTTTCTGACGGCAGCCTTCCCGGGCGCACCGCTCTCTCTACCTGTCAACTATTGCTTTGGTCGTCGCGGGGCCCTCGGTATCTCTGCCCTTCTCATTATTGCCAGTTCTTTGGGCTCAGCCTTTGCTTCCACGTGGCAGCAGGTCCTTGGCGCAAGGATCGTCGGCGGAATAGGTGAGTCATCTCCAAGATCCGATAGCAACTACGCACCTCTTGAGTCTAGATTAACACATCCCCAACAGCCATGGGAATCAAGGCCGTCAGCGCCCCTATCCTTGCTTCTGAGACAGCCGTGGGCTACTGGAGAGGCTCTACCATCCTAGCATGGCAGCTATGGTGAGACACGCCCCCCCTTTTCTGTATCTCAATCACTAACATCGACATCCAGGGTCGCGTGTGGCATAATGATCGGGTTCGTCGTCAACCTCGTAATCGCCAGCGCCACAAACGTCCTCGACACGGTGCCCTCTCACATCTACCGCATCATCAGGGAGAACAATACTGACGTCGTCATTAACCCATTCTCTTCTTCTGGGTACCAATCACGATATCTCGCCTTTCAACTGATCCTCGGCGCCCCTCTTGTTCCTTCAATCCTACTCCTGATCGCCTTGTGCTTTTGCTACGAGAGCCCACGGTTCTACATGAGGCCGGGGACACCCAACTACAACCTCGAACGAGCCTTTGAGATTCTCCGCAAGGTCCGAAAGAACGAGGTTTGTATTCCCTTTATCCACTCTCGGCATTGTCTTGGTCTAACAGATTCATCAGCTACAAGCTACTCGTGACTTCTTTCTCATCTGGTGGTCGATCAAGAGTAGCGCCGCCAAACAGGAAGCGAAGCAACATTCCCTCAAGGCCGGCCAAGTCAAGGGGGAGAACACACAGAGTACCCAGAAGGCCAAGGACGATGATGTCGACTCGGGCTTGACATACATGTCTCGCATCTGGGTAGTCCTCAAGCTCTCTGCAAGACAGTTCAGGCCTCTGTTCAATCAGCAACATCTGAGAAACGCCCTGCTGAGCAGCTGTACCGTCGCTCTAGCCCAGCAGCTATGTGGCAGTATGTTCCCATTGTTACAGGTCCTCTTTAAATGCCTCGCTAATCTTGTCGACAGTCAACGTGTTCGCCTTTTACTCAAGTAAGCATACTTCAGGAGAAGACGATATTGGATACTGACAACCCTTGTAGACGAGCTCTTTAGTAACTACGGAGTCGAAAAGAGTATGGGTTACAGTTTTGGTTTCGGTGGTGTCAACTTCTTCTTTGCCTTGCTAGCAATGAGGTTTGTGTACTTCAAGGGTGCCTTATTACATATCTAACCTCTCCCAGGTCCATTGATATCATCGGACGAAGACGGTGGCTCTTGTCCACCCTCCCGGTGATGAGTGTCTGTTTAATGGCTGCGGCTATTGCATACGCAGTCGACGGCACAAGAGTCACATCTCGAGGAGCCCAGGGTTCTGAGTCCATAGCTGGCATCGTCTTCATCTACTGTGAGTAGCCCAGGAAATCTCGTGTGTAGGAGACATACTAATTCACGTCTTAGTATTTGCTGCTGCGTACTCTCCAGGTCTTGGTAGGTCTAGATCCAAGTTTTTACGTGTGTTCGTCTAACACAAGCAGGTCCAATCCCCTTCACTCTCGCCTCTGAAAGGTTCGTGTCTTGAACTATTGCGTGAACTTAGAAGCTAACCAGTCTCAGTTTCCCTCTGTCAAACCGAGAAGCCGTATGTTCATGATCCAGACTATAATATATCATCATCTCGTGCAATACTAACACATTTTCTGCAGGGTGCTTCAGTAGCCATATCCATCAACCTACTTTTCGCGGGCATCCTAACAATCCTGATCCCCAGTATCAACAGAGAGTTCAAGATCGAGGGTACTCTCGGTTTCTTTGCTGGACTGAACGTGGTCGCGTTCATTCTCGTCTGGCTGTTTGTCGAGGAGACAAAGCGGCTACCGCTGGAGGAGCTGGAAAAGGTGTACGACAACCCCAAGTTCGATTTCGCCAAGTATCAGCTTTTTACGCGTCTTCCTTACCATATGAAGCGTCTGGCATCTTGCTTTGGAGAGGTTGAGGAGCCTGAAAGCTTTGATGAGATCGTGCTCAAGAAGACGAGGAGGGCGGGAGATCCGGCCGACACGTCAGATGATGATGTTCCACCGCGACCAGGGACTAATTAGTCGCTCACTTTATTGCGGTTTAGATATAGGACAGTTAGGAGCTGTTTACAGTAGGTATTGTGGCATTGTATCATAGGTATAGATTGGTTGGAAAAGGTTAATAAAAGCCTTGCATGAACGAGATTTCGGTCCGCCCTCCTTCTCTACACTTGTATCAGAGGCTTATCGAGACCACAAAAGTGTATCATTGCGAATAGAATAGCAATCATGAAGCTATCTCAGACCCCGAATCGGGAAATTTGGATGATGGTCGCACGATCAGAGCTGACAGAGCATCATCAAGGTGGGGGTCACGATGCTGGCCAAAGTCAAAAAGCCAACCACAACAACCATCTACAGATGGATACACACGTGACATGGAACAGCTTTAAACCTTGGATCTATGGGCAGTGATATCATATTTCTTACTGGGTTATTGGCATTCTATTCACCAGTTATTGTTTTAACCTTAAGCACATCCAATCCTCTGAAACTCTTGGCGCAAAGTCCAAACCCCCCTGATGATCTTCCCCCAGAGTCCCGTCCCCTAACTTTTAGCGCCCGCTGCTTAAAGTGCGCCCACACAACCTTAATACGTAACCCCGCGACGTCATCAGCCATCAAAAGATCACAAGACCCAACCCAATCCAAACCTCAACATCAACATCTCCCTTCCTAGGATCCTTCTTCTCCTACAGCATCATCGCGATACCTCGAAAATGGCTCCTCCGCGTCCATACATGTACAATTACGGCGATGGCCCGCAGCCACCTCCTCCTCCGCCCTATGGATACTACCCACCATACCAAACCCACGTCGTCGTCACCCCTCCTCGTCAGGACCGTCGACGCTCCTGCGCGAGGTTCGTCGTTTCCACGGCGCGTCAATTCTCGCTCATCATTCCATTCGTCATCGTCATCCTGAGCATATGGTGGTCCTTCCGGTATCAGGTCTGCCCCAGCGATGCGGCCGTGGGACACCCGTGCTCATGGCTGCTGTGGTTGAGTCTACCTATCGTATGCTATCCTATCATGCTTTCCACTGTCAGAACGCCATACTGATATAGACTCAGGCCATCGCCTCGGCTATCTGGAGTATCGCCATGATCATTTCGGCCCGTCGCGCCCTCCATCACATGTCACATGTGCCCACGCCCGTCAATGCTGCGGTCCAACTCGTCCTCGCCATCGGCGCGACCGTCTGCTTCGCCCTACTCGTCTATCACATGGAGACCTACGACTATTGGACTAGATACACAGAGGGCGGAATGGCTGCGCTCCTTGCGATGCTCTTGTGAGTCGCCTTGAAAGTCAGCTTGCTCACTGCTAACCACTGCTTCAGCATCGTCAATTGGATCCTATTTATCTGGACACTGAAGGAGATCAAAGAAGACCGACAACAGCGGCAGCATGCAAACAGTCACATTCCCATATAAGGTAAACAAATCTGACGAAATGACAATTTCTAAACTTTTACATGAAGCAGTCATTGGGACTGCACAGTACCTGTCGACGATTGTAACCCTTGAAAGCTGGGCAAAAAAGATAACCACCCACGCTCCATTTCCCTATTATCATACAGTAATACCGCTCTTGTGACATAGACCGATCCCGGGTATTATTGGCACCATGAGTCTAACTCAAGTGCCGGTACATGTTCAGCTCGTCTTCACATGCTGCCACCAAATCCCCCATGAGCCGCGAAGCGCAGCTGGTAGTCGCGGAGGTCAGCCCAGTTACGTAGCTCCTCCTCCTCGTCTTGCGACGTCATTTGGTTCGGGTCTGTCGCCTCGAGGCCTGTGCCGTTGGTGGCGCCCGTCTTTTCAAGCTTGACGAGAATGTTGATCAGTTGTGAAAGCGCTTCCTCCGATTTGATCGCGAATGGTCCCTTGCGCTCCGGTGCATCATTGAGGAGCGTCGATGCTACCTGACGGATCTTGTTGATGAGGGAGCCCCCGTTTGGCTCCATGTTGCGCTGGGAAATTGATCCTAGAACCGTAAGGAGGCCCTGGACAATGAGCTCCCGCTCAGACGACATGAAATCGTGGATTTCCTTCTCATCAGCATCCTGTGCCGCCTTTTCCTCCTCCGACTGACCGTCGAGGGGATTGGTATTCTGTTGCTGCTCGGAAAGATGAACATCACGGAGGTCAAAGTAGAGTTCGACGAAATATGACCGAGTTGCCAGTTGCGAAACATAGATATTACCCTTCTGAATCTCGTACTGGAGGTGACGACGCCGCGCTGGGTGATTCTTGATCACATTGCGAAGGTCGTGCGCGGGTTGACTGTTTGGCCAGGTTGGGGGCACGTAATGCATCCCAGCTTCGTCCAAGCTGGTGGCCTCATCCCCGTGGTTTCCAAGCTGAAGCTCTGGTGGAAGGTTATCTGTGATACTCTTCGCAGCCAGAAGGCCATCACGGAGCAGGATGCGCTGGTCGGCCCAAGGAAGAGTGCTCATGCCATAAGCCAGCTCGAGACTGACGATGCCGTTCATGGTGGTGTAAATGTCAATGGCGAACCGGAAGCCTGTTAAAAGGGTAACACTGCCATCCTGCTGGTGGATGACTTCGTTGGCAAGTACACAAATGTCATCCACATTTTCAGGGTATGCGGGATATGGGAGACTAGGGGTCGAGGGCGCAATCACCATATCCGCAGAAGAGGTACCGAGTTGTGAGAAGGAACTAGACTATAGTCAGCACAGAACTACAAGGATCTCGCATAGATAAGCACATACCGCACGCCAAGAAGAAGGCAATAGAAAATGCGCTTCCCAATCTGGTCCTTGACGTGGTTAAACGGCAGGGGGTCCGGTGAACAGTTGTCGTTACCAAAAGTAGGCAAATCCCCGGCGTGCTTGGGTCGATGGAAGCCGAGCTCGCGGAGAAGAGTCAAGGTCTCGGCAAAGAATTGACCCGAGGGATTCCACTGATGGGTATATCCCGAAGCCAGGCCCAGGAAATAGCTAGTCGCAGCGTCGTCAAGCGTCTTGGGCTGCTTGAGCACCCACCGACTCCCTCGTGTGAGCAGCGAAATCTCACGGCATTTTTCAACCATGACGATTGCCCGAGGGAAGAGATGAGTGCTGTGCTGTGCTTTGAGGTGCTCTCTCGCGCTTCGTGGGAAGGATGCCACAAGGGCGCAGATCATGCTCGCCAGGAGACCAAGGAACTCGGGCTTGGTGCGATCTTCGCGATTGGCAAAAGACTGGCGGAATGTAGGCTCATGAGGAAACGGCGCCAGGGGGTGGATGTATGTGAAGAAGTCATCAACCAGGAGTTCGAGAACAGGCATTGGTGCGATAGATTCGGCATCCAGAGCGCCCTCAGTCGAAATATTCATCAACGTCTTGGCCGCAGTCTGAGGCGAAGGTGACATGGCTCCAAACACAGCAGCAGCTGTCGCCACAGCTTGAGTGTCCGCGCGGGCACGCTTAGCAGCTTTTGCGGCTTCGGCGTGCTTGTTCGGGGGGCCTCGCCGCTTCGTCTCACGGTTAAAGGTACAGTCGACGCCCAGTTCTCGGCATGGTCTGCAAGGGATGTTGGAGTCGTCACACTTGACTTTGCGCATACTACACATATCACAGGCGCGTCGGAGACGGGTTAATTTGGGGTTAATGGTCGGATCGCGCATGACCCCGCCAGGACCAGGGACGAGGTGAGTCGCCATATCCGTCGCATGGGGAATCCCTCCAGTAACGACATGGTGAGGTTGGAGGCCATCTGGGGATGTCGCGTCGAGCGTCTGGTGTTGGTGGTGGCCAACGGCCTCAGCGGCAGCCACGGCAGCATGCTGGAGGGCCTGAGGGCTGTTAATCTGGTGGTTTATAGCATGAGCAGCATCGCTGGCTGCCTGGAGCATTTCGAGGCCATTGCTGGCGTAGGCGTGGACCGAGGCATGCGACGTGGGTGAGGGTGGAGGAGGTGAGCCCGACATGGTGACGGTTCGTATCGATTCGTCACGCTGCGCCGGGCCTGCGACGGCGGGCGTCGACGGTGGCTTGCGGAGCACCGGGCTCGGCGGGCGGAGCTGGGCTGGGTGTAAGCGGGACCCTGAGGACGGGCCTGGATGGATCGTCGGGGTGTTCGAGGGTAGAATGTCGGAGGAAATACGGGTGTTGAGGGGTGTTGAAGCGAGGTGAGGCCGATGAGCCGGCCAGGAGCTGGAGTAGCATGTATCACATGACCCATCTCAGATGCTTATTAAGCGAATTGAGGCTCTGTTGGCGTCATTTGATGAGGAGCTAGGTTACCCTGGAGCAGCAACCCAAAATCCCGACATTTCAGTCAATCCTCGCTAAACTTCCAGCATGAAGACGTGATGCTCGATTATCAATCTATCTAATCTGTCTCGTATCCAGGGTATCCCTTCGGTGTGGCTTCTTGCATGACGCACTCATATGTCACATGGAAATGGGTGTGTTGGATCTTGTCGTGATATCGACCATCAACATCAACATTGTGATTACGTCGAGGTACACTTCCATACAGTGACATCCCTAATCATCGTGCAATTAACAATATGGATAATCTCGTGAGATCTGTGTACAAGATGGTAAACTTCAAAGACCAAATTGGGAGCTCAAGAGACACCCCCAGGTTACATGATGCCACATGGGGGTATCGCATCATGGGGAACCAGAATCGGGGAAATAACCCACGACTATGGGGCCTATGCGTTCATCTGATGACTGACCGAGTCCCATCGGGAATTTTGGGGGGAGGGGGGGTCCTCGCGGATCTGGCATCATCTGGTCCTTGCTTGCGGCTGAGGTGTACACGGACGAGACCGATAAGACCGAACTGCCGGCGCAGCACAGTTAAATGAAGCGTTCGGTTGCTGTGGCATTCTGGAAGACGGCGGCTTGGCTGGCTGAATACACGAGGAGTCATGGGATTTGATGAAAAGTCCATGCTTTGTGCTAACATAGCTGTCATAGAGCTAAGCTGTGGTGGAGTTTAAGAGTCCCCTCCCAGCGAGAGAGCTCAGGGTGAAGCTTGGCAACTCGCTCTCAGCTCCCTGCAAAGCATAAGCTGTCGCGTGCACTGACTATTACTCCTCAAAACACACCACTCCTCAAACCCAAGCTGTCATGCAGATCTCGGATGCTCTCGCAGTCTAGAAACATGGGATTTCGCTTAGCTCTCCTTCTCCCGCTTGCCGCCGCCGCCGCCTTTCAACGGTCGTCCCGGAAGTGAAACACGACCCAATCACATGGGTTGGAATTTTTCTTTTCTAACATGATCGGGGTCTCGTAGCCAATCAAAGGACGCGTCCCCCGCAAGTCGCCGTTGTTTCTTTGGGAGGGTTTCTATTTGTGACAGGCGGCATGATGACGACGAGCGAATCAGGAGCGTGATTATCTTTTCCACCTCAAACGATTCAACCTCTGTTTTCTGGCCATTTTCACAATATGACCTTATAGTAACCTCACTCAACAACACTCGATCCTCTCTGTCATCCTCCAGGCTCAATTCCTCCTTTCCTCGGGTGCATCCGGGCTGGCCACGCCGGGCACCGACCTCCCAACGGAGTCACGGACCCCTGGGACGACGGCCCCACTCATCAGCCCACCGTCACCATCGTCTGATGTTGGCGACCTGGCGTGATGGGCTCAGCCTGGAGCCCAGACAGAGCCAAACAGCACCAGCCAAGGACGGACGGAGCAAGGCGAGACTCGGGAACAGGCAAAGAGATTTGCTTCAGCATGAGCGCCTATGATGGATGGCCCAGGTCATGGACAAGGCGAGGGGCAAGGGCCGGCGCGTGGAGGGGTGGGAGATGAGGCCATGGGATTGCAATAAATACTGCTGCGCTGGGCGATTCGCACCTCTTGGATTGATCTGCCTGTTAGTTGTTACTTGTTTTTTCCTGTGAAAATCGCATCCTTCTTGGTCCAGCTGCGTCACTTGAGAGCTCTACTCCTCATCAGCTGAGCAATCCCTCTTCTCCTCTTCCGACTTTTTCACCATCGCCCGTCTCATCCGCGAAACTCGATCCTCTCGCAAGCAGCGCATTAAAAGTCATCGCAAGCGAAAGTTCAATATCGCCCGTATTCCGATCTGGGAGGATTAAAAGAGCGAGAATCTCGAAAATCCGTATTCTTTCACATAAACCCATTCTTCATCCAAAAACCGCAACACCACAGCCAAAATGTCGGCCACATCACGACCCATGAAGCACATTGATCGCGAGGATCTCTACACCAACCTCGAGGCCCGCGTCATGTACCTTCACTCATTCCTTGACTTTTCTAGCCGTATGTTCCTGCCGTCTGCCAGAAATCATCTCCTGATTCCGAAAACCCGTGGAGTTGTAGAGAATAGGCCGAAATGGAGACTAACATATCTTTTACAGGAGACATTGAAGCCCTCATCACCGGCGCCAAATACGTCAAGGCTCTCATCCCCGCCGTCGTCAACATCGTCTACAAGAAGCTCCTCCAGTACGATATTACCGCCCGTGCCTTTACCACCCGCAGCACCTCGTTCGAGGGCCCTCTCGATGAGGTGCCCGACGAGAACAGCCCTCAGATTCTGCACCGAAAGATGTTTCTGCGTGCGTACCTGACCAAGCTGTGCTCGGATCCCAGCAAGATGGAGTTTTGGGAGTACCTGGACAAGGTTGGGTAAGTTGCTGACTACCTCTTCAATTCTTAGAATTGAGCAACACCAACAAGATCATGATGGCTAACTATCAACAGCATGATGCACGTCGGACTCGGTCGCAAGCACCCCCTCCACATCGAATACGTCCATCTCGGCGTCTGCCTAGGCTTTATCCAGGACATCATGACGGAAGCCATCCTCTCACACCCCCGCCTACACATTCAGCGCAAGACGGCGCTCGTCAAGGCCCTCAACAAGGTCATCTGGATCCAGAACGATCTCATGGCTAAGTGGCACGTCAAGGATGGCGCCGAGTTCGAGACTGGCGATTCAGATATTGAGATTGAGCGCGAGGGTTACCTGCACGGCAAGCGCATCCTTGGCGATGGCACCGGCTCCGAGGATGACGCTTCGGAGCACCACCAGCCCGCCACGCCGTCGCGGATCCCCCACCCGGGCATGGCGGCCGGCGGGGTGTGTCCATTCTCGGGGATGGGAGCCCCGGCCGACGAGGCCAACTGAGCGTGATGAAGCTTGGCGTTTTGACTCGAGACGGGGTCTCGAGAGAGCAAGGATAAAGGGTTCAAATGTTTATATCTGGCGTTAATGATGATAACCTACTTTGGGAGGCGGGTACTCGGGCATTTGGGGTTTCAAGGCAGTTATTGTTTGTCTTTTTGGATGTTCTATGTCTGGTGTCTAGATGGAGAAGAGTTATGAGAATGATTAGGTAACAAGAATACCACAACTCAATTCCCACGGGACACCTATAATCATGATTCATACTGCTGAAAGTCTATCCGAAACGTGATATCTGGTTGCGAGAGGTTGGTGGTGAGACTTGATATGTGAGGCTGTAAGGGGATAGGTATTGGCGTTGAGAAGGATGAAGTGAAGTCAAGTCAGCACCTCACTAGGCAAATCTTAATAGAACGACATATTCCCAACTTGTAATACGTCCCCTATACTTGGTCAACTGAAACTTCAACCGCTGTTAGCCTGATTCACTTGACATTTGCGATACCACCTCGGGTCGACATCTCCACGTGGACCGGCTCTTCAGAGGGGCAACGGACCCGCGATTGACGCATCATGATTGCTCGGTTGGCCCGCCGTCAAGGTACCTGGACGATCCCGGCTGAGGGCTCCATCTGATATTAATGTGAACCAGGTGATTGGGTCTTTTCAGGGTCCTCTTCGCGGGATGACGGAACGTTGTGTTTCCTGCCATTGGCCGTCCATCATCTTGTCACATAAACCCAATCAACTGCCCCGCGGTGGGGTTGAAGTTGAGAGTTGAGAGCAAATGATGATATGATGGACTCGGCTGGGTAGAGGAGGATAGAGGAGAGTGATATGTTGTACATAGCGGTATCTAGATTGGACCGCGAATTGTTGGGCTTTGCTGCATTCCATGTCGGGCAGATAGGAATCGGCTGTCGTGTGTAAACATCAGGAATTCTCTTGTCATTTCTGACGGGGTTGCCGGGCCGGGACTCTCAGGATCTGGTTAACCAGGTCCCAGGCAGTCTCGAACCTCTTGGAGGAGCTGTTGCGCAACATGCCAACCTCCAATGGCAACCCGTCGATAAAGCACACTCCTCTCGAGGCGAACGAACATGATGCACACATCAGCCGGATGAGGCAAAGGCTGCAAGACGCAGGACGCAACGGCAAGGCAAGGCATTTGTTCTGTACAGTACATACGCGCATACAATAGGATCGCATAGCCTCGCGCGCGTCGGGATGTTCGTGGTCGTGGAGCGCACGAATAGCGGCACGTCCTCGAGGCCAGCAAGCGGGCGGGTGCGAATGCAGCTCGTGGTTGCGGCTCGGCAACACAACGGACAAAGCAGGCGAAGCAAAACTCGAGCAGGGACGAAAAAGACGATGGGAAATTCTGGTAAAAATGGCTCATGGAGCGTGGTCTATGCAAGCCACCATCGAAGATTGTATGCAAGTAGGGAAACCAACCTGTCAGAGATATGTACGCTGTCAACCGGCTCCGAACTGTGAGTGCCAGATCGTCTTCAAGGTCAAGTCCCGGGGGGTTCTCGCTAGGGAGACGAGAAGCTCGGTACGAACGACTAGAGCCAAGGCAAGTGCCGGAAAGGGGCGGCCACGTTTGGCGGATCGAGGCGGTGGATGGTTGGAGAATCTATTGGTGATGGGTAGTTGGGTTGGGTTGGGTTGGATCATGGAGGATGGGAATGGCGCCCCGGCCCGTGGCGGCGCGCAGTTTAGCAGAAGAGAGCCGAAAGAGAAGAAAACCCTGTGTCAATCTGTACTACTAATAGCCGGCCGGAGAGGTACACGCTCGATGCCTGCTGGACATCAACCGGAGGTGGGGGCATGGATCGTTTCCCTGGTGGGGGAGGGGAGGATTGGCACCGGGCGGCTCCGGGGGATAAGTCCCGGGTGCGGTTTTCAGTGGATTCCAGGTGCAGCGAAGCACAGCACAGTGGGCTTGAAGGCCTCGGACTGTCACCCGAAGCTGACCGATGCAGAAATAGTGCCAGCGAGAATGCACACCATTACTTGGGGGAATGCGGTAAATGCAGCGTCATGCTGAGGTCTCGATGGATTCTGATGACAAGAGGATGAGAAAGCAAAGAAACTGAAATGCCCGGTGAGGCCTAGGCGGTAACTTACCTTGATCATGACTTTTACGTGATGCTTGCGAATGCCCTGGCCGGTCGGTGTTGCATCTCCGGTTGACGGCGCTCACCGTCTTTTGGTGTACACCTCAGTATGGATAGTACGTCTCTCTCGGTGGTGGAAGAACAAGTCGTGCTCCGCGTGTCAGTTTTATGTCTGAGGCGTGCACCGTCGCCTCTGAAGCGTGCTTGTGCCTTTTTCCTTGGTTATTGTTGGTGGTTGAAGTCGGGTGCATTAACCTGTGGGGGGCTTTATGACTGACGGGGGCCTGGTCCCGTCTTGGGGGTGCTGCGTTGCGTTGCAGTCGAGGGTTGCGCAACTGTCCATGATGATGAGGATTTTTTTTTATTCAGAATTGACAAGCTATGACTTGCGGAATGAGACATTTACCATGTCAACGGGAACTCGGTTGTCTCGTTGCTAGGATAAGTTGAAGGCATTGTCAACTCATGGCTTGGACCAAGCAACAAACAAGGGGCAGGATAAACTACTTGCCCCTCCCCCTCCCCCGCCATTCCCATGATCGATGGCACGGATCACATGGAAGCATTCAACATACGAGTTGACAACGAACCAGTTCCTTGGAGTTTGACGGTGTAGATAAGAGACGGAGTTCATTACCGTGAAGAGCTGGACAAGGAATGCCTAAACTTACAGTGGCGAGATCTATCAAGAACAGCTCGTGTTATCTAGACCTCGTGATGCCGAAAATTCGGCCGTGTTGGAAAAAAAAGTTGGAGTTGACGGGGAGGTTAAACACAGACCACCTCCACTATCCGTACAGTACGTGCGGTGATAGACATGGCAAGGCAAGGCAGCTGAAGCTACTGTACATTAGCCTGGCCATTGAGTGTCGTCCTGTACCTGATCGGCATCTGTATCCTGGTTTTTACTCGGTCTTGAGTCAAACGTCGAGGCATCTTGGCAGGTATTGAATTGTTTTGTCGTCGCGTGAGGTCTGGCATGAGCTGGAACATGGCGGGGCGACAGCAATGGGAGAAGTTGAAGAGAGTGCCACCACCAGAACAACCACTGAAAGAATAGGCAAAACTCTTGATGATACAAACTCAGTCAGCATAGATCTGTTCAATTGACTCCCATATTCCCAAAACACTCGTATGCCTCGCCAAATGCTCCCTCCCAAAATATGCTGCTTACCCACACCGTCCACCCTGGGCCTGACGCCGGGTGCCAGTTTGACGCATCCATGATCATAAAAAACGTGCACCCGCAAAAAAGCAATGGAACCAAGGTACCTTGGAATGCCCCACCTCCACCAGCGCCTGGTAGGTACCGTACTGGATCACTCACTCAACCAGAAGCAGCATCACCTACCCTCCCTCCCTCCCTACCCACGGGGCACGACCATGAATCGCCGAAACCGCCCGGCCCGACTTGCAAGACTAGACCCTAGGAAGCAGTAGTAGGACCGCGACCGACGGGCCTGGGACGCCGCCGTCGTCGATTGACAACCAACGTCACCGATCTCTTGTTTTCTACTAGAGCTATCTCATCTCTCTTTCTCCCCTCGTCCCTCTCCAGCTCCGTCTGCCTCGTCAGTCTGCTCTCAGTCTCGGAGAACACCGCCAATTCCTCTTCTTCACCACTTGTTTCTTTCCGCGCAGCTTCATTCTTGCATCCATTCTTGCATCATCACCTCTGTCCCTCACTCGCTCGACCACGGGGATCGATCACAGGCAGAGACAGCGAGAGACGGCGATCCCCTTCCACCGACAAGACGACCCAAGGAGACGCCTACTAACCCGCTCTTCGTCTACCGAAACCTCTCTCTTGAGCCTGATTCTCACATCATCACATAACCTACCGTCGAAATGGCTGCCGACAGCACCAGCGCCAGCGCGCCCCCCTTGCGACGCCGCGAGTCCTTGTCCGAGATTCGAGCTGCCAACCCCGAGCTGGCTCTTAGCGGCAATATCATCTCGGCCACCTTCAACACACCGCATTCTTTCGTCTATCGAAAAGGCGGCGATTGGGTAAGTTTCTCTTCTCTCACTCACCCCGTATCTCTTATCGGCCACCAGGCGCGGGCTCGTTCATTAGCTCGATGCATTTCCCCTCTTCTCCAAAGCAAAGCTCCAGCCAGCTCCAGCTCTAGCTCCCCTCCCCCCTCGCTCGCCCTTGTCACCGTGATGGATCACATGAAAATTGAGCCTCGACTAAAACCCGCTCTCTCTACAGGACTTGAAAGCTCGCCGCGGTCAATCTGCGCTCCTCGACTCTTTCGCTTACCTTTCGTCCGACGCTACTCCATGGAATCATACCGTTGTCGCCTGGACGGGAGAGATCGACGCTCCCACCGATGACGTCGTTTCTTCACCTGGTACGCCCGCGCCAAACACACTAGGCGCCGCTTCTCTCAATGCCCTCTCCGCGCCGGTTCCCGTCGATGCCACCACTCGTCTGCCGACTCCGCCTCCAATTGACGGTCTCTGGATTCCCCACGAGGATCAGGAGCGTCTCGAGTACCGTCTGTCCCACAACAAGACAATCCGCACTTATCCCGTCTGGTTGTGTGACGAGTCCGAGTCTTCGTCTGATGGCATCCTCCTCAAGGACCAGGCTCGCTGGCGCCGTTATGCCGAGCAAGATCTCTACACACTCCTCCACTACAAGCAGCATGAGCCTACCGACGGCCGACGAGAGCGCATTCAGTGGGCCGACTACTATCGTATGAACCAGAAGTTTGCCCACAAGATTATCGAGATCTACAAGCCCGGCGACATTGTCATCGTCCACGACTACTTCCTCATGCTTCTCCCTAGCATGTTGCGACAGCGTGTTCCCAACATGTACATCTCTTTCTTCCTCCACTCGCCTTTCCCTAGTAGCGAGTTCCTCCGCTGCCTGCCTCGTCGCAAGGAGGTGCTGGAGGGTGTCTTGGGCTCCAACCTTATTGGGTTCCAGTCCTACAGCTACTCTCGCCACTTCCTCAGCTGCTGCACCCGAATTCTCGGCTTCCCGTCTGACACGCTCGGAATCGATGCCTATGGAACTCGCGTCCAGGTTGGCGTCTTCCCCATTGGCATTGATGCTGCCAAGGTTGAGAGCTTTGCCTGGACTTCAGCAGTCAAGGAAAAGTATGACGCTCTC